GACCTGTGTCTGACCCAAGTATGACCTAGGTCAAGTCACCGAATGCGATATTAAACCAAGAGGGCAGGCTTGCATACTGCTCGAGGAACTTTAGCTAATTTCCTATTCAAGGGACTTCACACTTGTCTGAAATTTCAAAGATCTCTGAGTACTGAACACAGATTATCACCAGCTTTCAGTACTCTTGAAAGCTATCCGAACTGGGGAAAATGGGAATAACCCTGCTATCGGACTTCCAAAATTCATCATATAGCTACATTCAAACCAAAGACCACATTTTTGTTTCCCTTGAAATGGTTTTCTCATTGTAACATGTACTTAAGGAACCTGTACATAAAGACCACCTGTCTGTAAAGACCACTTTTTTGTCTCCCTTGGTGGTCTTTATGGGCAGGTTTCACTGTATATGATAATTGAAATTTTGTAGTCTGAATATTGTATAACGAAAAGCCTTTTTTGGCATCATTTCAAACAAAAACTTGATAAAAAAAATCAGTGTCCCATTCCAGTCTAAACGTTGTATTGTATGAAAATTGTAAAAATCGGCAGGGCTGAGAGTGATACTCATAATTGGCAGGCTGTCCTGTTAACAAACCTTGTCAAAAATCAGTTTCTTCATCCAATGTTTCTTTTGAACAATGTTCAAAACAGTCTTCAAACAACCAAGGGTGCATTCAAGCGATTTTTTGAAGCTAGAATCACAAAACATGAATCATGAATCAAAACGCCGTTAAAAAACACAGTTACTGCGGGAGAGCATTCAAGCGATTTTTCATCAACGATGATTATCGCTCAATTCAAGCACAGCCACTGCTCATCACAATGTGCAGTTTGACCCAGGAAGTATAGGTCAACTTCGCCGTGTGCTTTCTGAATTTGTTACGGTCGACTGTCGGCCAAACCGGAAGCAGGCCACGATAATGATGTTATAGAATCATGATTGAGATACAATGTTTGCGATTTTAAACACGTTTTAAAAACGTCTCTGAAAACCTTTTTCTAGGATGAAAAAGTGTTGATTGAACGCACCCCGAGATGATTCATAGCTGGCTTGAAGAATGTGTCAGGTTGATGACAAATTATTGCAAAGTCAGACAGATACATGAAAGGAAACATGGCAGCGCTTGTCAGATTTCATTGTCTTCTGAGATGCCCGTCAGATGACTTATAAACCCAGTTTTAGATGAACCCGCCTGAGATCTGGAACATGGCAGAGATATAAGCCGGGGTGAGGGGAAACAATGGTGTCATCCTCAAATTGGAGGGTCGTAAAGAAATGATATGTCTAGGATTACTTTCATTACAAAGGAAAGTTTGAGAAGGTTTTGTAAAGCAAAGGGCAAGGACAATCAATGTCACATGTTACTTTAGACACAGCACTTCTGACTCCGGGTGTCAAAAAACAATAACAAAAAACACTACAACAATAGTTAAATAAGTTTGATTTGTGGATGTTAAAGTCTATTAAAGTCTAAAATGCCAATTAACATGAAATGAATTTTAAATGAATCTATTATAGCAGTAATAATATGATAACATATCTTAATGATGTGCAGTTATGTCTCTCTTTAATACATACATATATATATATAAGTATCATTATTGAACAAAGGCATAACGTTATTGTAAAGAAAAGAGATAGTAACAGGCATGGACAAAAAGGAATATGTGTATGTCAGAGACATCTGCATTCCATCCCCTGTATGCAAATGACTGCTTTCAAAGCTTTACTGGATAAGCTAAAAAAGTTAAAAAATAATTAAATTGAAAATAATATTTTAGCAATTTGAAGCATGGAATATGCCAAATTCTTAGAGTAACCCTGTAACCAACGATCTTTTGATGTTTGAGCATAAGAACAAAAATGGAATTTGTAGAATTGCCATGTGATATCATAGGGCTCCACACTAACTTTTCTGGAATTTTGGGCGCCCACGTGTCCCGGGTGCGTGTTAATGTCGAGCCTTGCATATAACCTGATACTATGATGGATATCAATCAGCGAGGATGAAACATTAATCCATGGCATGCACAATTTTGGCACAAAAACTATTTAATTCTGGTACTGCCCATCTGGAATTGCCCCTTTTGTTTCTTCATCGAGAGAAATCCATGTTTATTGCCATTTTGATTTATGATTGTGTCTTGTGACAATAGTTCTCATGATAAAGGCAATTTTGTATCTGTAATTGCAAAAATTGATACTAATAAGACATTGTTGTTTGAAATAACACAAGTGTTTATGTGCCCCAAGAGACATTTTCATTATAACTACCTATTGTCTAGTTAGCACTTACCGGTAAACCCAAAGAAGAATGAGGTAATAATCATTCACATTATACCAGATTGTCAAAGTGCATATGGAATGGTGAAGGGATGTCTTCGCGCAGGGTGTAAAAGAAAGAAATATTTTGAATAACTGTCCAAAATGATAATCATGTGATTTTAAATTGCTCATCTAATTATTTAGATAGTTTTCATACTCTACTTGGTACTGTATTGTAGTGTTTGATGACTTAAATTTCGCATGAACAGAATGTTGACATGGATGATAGATCAACGATGCATGAGCCGAATTGTTTAATATGGAATATTATCATCTATATATGGCTTCCAAGTGGTTCAATAAATCAGTGTATTTAATATCTTTAGAGCAGTACCCGGATGACATTACATATCAATATTGTTTTTCGTGTTGCTCTGTCATCTGGGAACTTCACCTGTTGATACAATATTACTTGATTATCGAAAACCAAAAGTCAAATGATGTTATTTCGCTAGTCATTCTGATATAGATAATTATAATATTGTATGGCTTTGTTTTTGTGTGATACAAGAATATATCGCTCTCGCTATAACAATATATTCTTGAATCACAGTCAAAGCCATCCAATATTATGTAAGTACCACAGTACTACAGCTACAACAATGAATTATGGAATAATGCCATGTGCAGTAATAACGCTTCAACATGCGACTGTGGGATAATATCAAAATATTTAGGATACACCCCCCCCCCCAACATTTTTTCCACATTAAACATGTCCTAACATCCTTAGAAGTAAACAACCTCCAAAAGTCTTTAATGCTGTACAATTTATCTCATGTTCTTTCCTCAGTAGACACCCTCTCACATTCTGTCCACAGTGAACTTTCTTCAATATTCTTTCGAAAGTTGCAAAACCCTCATTCTTCCCACTGTAAATTTCTTCTCTCTTTATACCACAGTATACTTTCAATAGTACACAATCTTTCAATAGTACACACACCATCCCAATTTTACCACGGTAAATACCCTCCCATATTCTTCTCACAATACACACCCTCCCACACCCTTTCCACAGTACATTCCTTCCTTGCACATTCTTTCCACAGGAAAGGTCCTCCCACAATCATTTTTACAGTAGATGCCCTCCCCCAATCATTTTTACAGTAAACATCCTCCCACATTATTTCCATAGTAGAAATCCTCCTATATTCTTTCCACAGTAGACATCCTCTCATATTCTTTCCACAGGAGGCTACACATCCTCCCCACAGTACACACCCTCCAACCTTCTTTCCATATTAGACATCCTCCAACATTCTTTCCACACTACACACCATCCTACACCCTTTTCACAGTACACACCCTCCCACATTATTTCTACAGTACACTTTTTATTTCAATAGTTTTTTTGTTGATTGATTCCAAACAAACAAATTAATCATTCCACAGTACACACCCTCCAACATTCATTCCACAGCAGACAACCTCCAACATTCTTATCACAGTATAGATCCTCCCAATTCTTTCTACAGTTAATACCCTCACATATTCTTTTCACAATTCACATCTTTCCACATTCTTTCCACTGTACAAACCCTCCTCACAGTAGACACCCTCCCACATACTTTCCACAGAAAACACCCTCCCATATCCTTTCCACAGTACATACCCTTGCACATTCTTTCCACAGGTAAGTACCTCCAGCAATCCTTTTCACAGTACATACCCTCCCACATTCTTTCCACAGTAGAAACCCTCCCACATTAATTCGACAATAGAAACCCTCCCACAACAATTCCACAGTACACACCCTCCTACATTCTTTTCACAGTAGACACCCTCCCAAATTCTTTTCACAGTAGAAACCCTCCCACATTTTTTTCACAGTAGACATCCTCCCACATTCTTTCCACAGTACACACCCTCCCACATTCATTCCACAGTAGAAACCCTCCCACATTTTTTTCACAGTAGACATCCTCCCACATTCTTTTCACAGTACACACCCTCCCACATTCTTTTCACAGTAGAAACCCTCCCACATTTTTTCACAGTAGACATCCTCCCACATTCTTTCCACAGTACACACCCTCCCACATTCATTCCACAGTAGACGCCCTCCCACATTCATTCCACAGTAGAAACCCTCCCACATTCTTTCCACAGTACACACCCTCCCACATTCATTCCACAGTAGAAACCCTCCCACATTGTTTTCACAGTAGAAACCCTCCCACATTTTTTCACAGTAGACATCCTCCCACATTCTTTCCACAGTACACACCCTCCCACATTCATTCCACAGTAGAAACCCTCCCACATTGTTTTCACAGTAGACATCCTCCCACATTTTTTCACAGTAGACATCCTCCCACATTCTTTCCACAGTACACACCCTCCCACATTCATTCCACAGTAGAAACCCTCCCACATTTTTTCACAGTAGACATCCTCCCACATTCTTTCCACAGTATAGATCATCGCACATTCTTTCCACAATTCACACCTCACTTCATGCCTTTCACATCACATGGTCTCTGACATCATTTCGAACATAAACACCCTTCCCAATCCTTTTCACATTATACCCCCCACACACGTCCCTTCCACAGTAAACACCCCTCCGCTCTATTTCCATAGCACACATCGTCCCATTTCCCCCACTTTTCAACATTACATGGCCTCTTTCCAAAGAACACACTCTCCCACACTCTTACCACAGTTCTCTTACCTTCGTCTGAAAACCCCTTGCTCATGATCTTGTTGATGCGTTCCGGATGGTGAAGGCTTCCGCAGAAGTAGAGCTCTGTGAAGATGGAGGGATCCCCCAACTGTTTTAAGCGGAGCTGATACAGTTCTCTCATCGTGGATGACAGGCTAGTCTGTACATGGATATAAATATGTCTTTAATGTTACCATGTTAGTATTGTATTAATCATTTAAATGCCATGAGCAGCAGATTATACCAGTAATAAGATCCTTAAGTTTAGTTACCATCAATCATATTTGGAGACTGCTGTTTGAAAGCTTTTAACACAAACAATTACGTTTCAGCTTGAAAACAAGTAAATGACATATATCTAATAAGTTATCAAAACAGTTAGGGCTAATCATAAAGATCAGTGATTGGAGTAAAATGACATCTGTGAAGAAAAAAAACACAGGTAATACTTCACCATTTAATATCACAAATCCTCTATTCTCATATTGCAAATCAGGATCTCTCATTTATCTTAATTCCAGGAAAGCAGAGTGCTTTTGCCCTGGTTCCCTCAAATAAAGCTATAAATTACAGACTTGTGTCCTGTGACTCAAAATAACCCAATAAATATCTTATTCAACTTTTAATATGTTGTCACTATTCACTTGACAGTCACAAATTCAGTCGAATATATGTTGGGCTTCGACCAAGTTTAGTAAATGTCTTTTAATCCTACCCTATTCCCATTTCTTACATTTACATGATATGAGGGAGAAAGAGACATAAAATTAACACATATGCTTTGTTCTAAGTATAACTACATGCTGTGATTTGAACTTGGGACCTTATGTTTGAACTGATATGAGTATGAACCACTTTGTTACAGGGACTTAACAACAGACCAATGCTAACTGTCTAAATGTCGCAGAAAATAAAATAACAGACTTTACACTGAAAGTTTCCGAATAATCTGAAGCAGAAATCGTTAAAAATCATGGCAAATTCTTGACATACCGCTTAGTCAACTTGTAAAAAGGTTTCTTTTAACATGCACTATAATTTAATAATAATTTCTTAGAAGAGCAGATGGCATTATAGTCTGACAGCTAACACATTAAAAAGGAGCCTTTATTGCACATGTAGAACAAGCTAACAGTGTCATATACATGTAGGGCAGCCAATTCTGTGTGGGTGTGTATACCTGTATGAGTGTGTGTGGTCCACTACAAGTTAAAATCAATCACATTAAAAAAGGAAAAATCTCAACATTTTACAGAACAGTGTTTACATTATTAAAACAGATACTAGAAAGTCCATAGACCTCTGTCTGAGCATTTTTTATTATTATTAAAAAGAAAAGAAATTAAAGGTAAATCAGTTTCCTTGCACATCTACATTTATACAAACAGAAAGAAATAAATCTTCATAAAACAAACATGTGGAAACACTTTGTATAAACTAAGGGAATATTTTAACCACATTAATCTGAATCAATCTAGTAACAGGACAAATCAATCTTCATAGGAAATTGTTAATCTGTTGACTTAACCTGTATGAAGCACGATTTTTGGAAATAAAATTTTCATCACAGAGAAACTAAAACAATTTTTAAAAGCTTTATTTGGCAAAAGATAGAAATTGTAAAGAATGTTGTTTTATAGTTTGCAATACGAAACACGAACAATTGCTGAATTCTCTGAGTGGCAGACATGCCTTTTTTATATTTGAGCATTCCATGATGACAAGCAATTTACCTGAATGAACAATGGTAACATCACTCAGTGAAAATCGAAGACGTATCCATCATTTACATGCAGTTAAAGTTCAAGGGGAAAATAGTGTACAAGTACATGTAAATACCATTGTGCTGACACGATATTGCCTTACTCAATCCTGTATTTCTATAAATGTGTTTTTAATACTAGACTTGGAAGAGAAGAGAGTCATGAAATTTCACACGTTTGTATACAAACATGTACAATTTAGGATATAGTGATGGGTTTCAAATCTGTAAATCAGGGGCAGTTCAAGCAGCCTTTTGGCTGCATGTCACACAACAGAGTACAAGGACTTTCATTATTGCATCAATCAAACCTCTCCATTGTTCGAGTGTGCGTAAGTGAGTAAATCAGGTTACCCAAAAGCATTCCATCAAATTTACACAACCTTTTCAAAGGCGAGAGTCAGATCCTCCTAAAATAACTTTGCATTTAAAGCTTATTTCACGTAATGGAATTGCATTACGAGAGAAACTGAATTAAAGCCGTTCTATTTCGGGTATTTATGCAGCAGACAAGCTGTTTGGATCAACAAGTTATAAATAAATTCATGTAAATGTGCTGGAAATCACATTAACCAAAATAAACAGCTCAACCTTTCACATTCAAGTCTAAGATGGTTTTTATACAAATGGGGATAGAATTATTAGGCTATTCTCCTTATATTCTTATCTTCATTGACTTATTACTATTATATGGGTTCTACCAAAATCATTTGGCAGCATATACATGTATATATATGTCACTTCGGTGGTGAAGGTTTGTTAAAATCTGTTTTTTCATTTGTTTTCATAAATTTTATTTTATTGCGTTAAAGTGTTTTCCATAGATATTATAAATCAATACAACACAATAATAATAATAATAATAATAATAATCATAGCTTAATTGTTCACTCCAAATTTTTTTTAAACCGAAACGGAAATTCTTTTTGCCCAATTGATCGTGAGCCCGGCATCCACTGAGCAGCGCCAGATCGACGTTGCTCTATCCCTTATTGTTGAACGCAAAACAAGGTAGCAACAATTCCCATCTTTTAACGTCTTTTGGTATGACGCGGCCGGGGTTCGACTGACTGAGCCAACACTCCGGTCATATTAGCACTAAATGAACATAAGTATGGGTAACTTAAGATAATAACTATTCATACTCCAAGCCATACATTGATTGATTTATTGGTTGGAAAGCAAGGTATTCAGGGACTTTGGGAAAACAGAAAGACATGATGAAGCCCGATTCCACTTGTACCTTTAACATTTGGTTAGGAGAAGAAAAGGAGACATGGAAGTGAAATTCCACGGTAAACCAAGTCCATACACAATGAGAGAAACAGAAAGTGTGCAAGCTACGCACGCAAGCTCAGAATAGCTTTGTCCAAATATGGAAACCAGATCTCTCACGTGAGCCTGGATAATGAAAGGGAAAGCAACATGAATGTTGTAGCATGGTATATGGAGTTACTTGGCCAGAACTCAGTATGCGTGGGCGAGCACCTTGTTTTCTATTGCTACTGAGTAGACTTACATGAATGCGGTTAAAGGTAGTCTGTATTATTGAAATAATGAAGGAAAATTATTCTCACAGAACCAAAGCTAAGGTGAGACTAAATGCCAACGACTACAAATAAATGAGGAAGACTAGGTATTTGAGCTAGTAGTTCCGCCGATGTCCAAATATGAGTTGTGCTTTTCCCAGCAAGTTTACTACCGGTATATCAACTTGTGCATATTTTGCTGAATCTGTTTTTTTTTCTTAAATTTTTAGTTTGGACAATTTTTGTTGAATGCTCCCTCTGGCCTCCGCTATTGCCATGGTTTTTATCTGTGAAGCATCAGAATTCTTTTCCCACACTTCCAAACGTTGGAGAAAAACCTATGAATGAAAGACATACAGTGGATGAAATGGCCACGTTTGATGTTGACCCCGGAATATGGAATTCAGTAGCATCTAGATAATAAATAAAAAATAATATTGATTATCTAGAGACGCTAAAAAAAAAAAGGACCATCGTGCTTACTAACTTACAGAATGTGAAGAAAAGCATAAAGCTCATAACATAGGTAAATCATATCATATTACTGAGGAAAGAAGTATGTATTAAAGGGATCTGGTAACTTTGTCTCAGATTCTGAAACAAATTCCTGGATTTAGCTCATGATAATTATAAACCTTTAGGTCTGTCAGGAACCCCATGACTTTTACAAGCCGATCGCCTGTCTGATTATCAAGATACTTATCATTGGAAATCGAAACCAAATTTTGCGTTTTCCTAACGGTTTTCAAAACACTACAGTCTATTGGGGAAAAACTGGTCACTCAAAGATTTTTACTTTTTTGAGGCACTTCTTGATCATTTTGAAGCGCAATATATGGCTTCAATATTGCACCATATCACAAACACTGATAACACGTAGGGCTGTGTATCTCAGATTTAACATTATTAAACAATCCCTTTAAGATTGGTCAGGCTCCATGTTGCAACTACTAAGAATTACAGGAAAGCATCGTAGACTATTTCTGGACCCTCAGGGTGAACCAAGAAATATAAACACCGGTATCTAATCCTCAAATAAACACTTGGCTTGCATAAAGGACAGAACCAGGGGAGCTAGAAAGTTAAAAATATAGTGAAAATTGTTCAACTTTATTTTATTAGATAATCCATTCAACAGGAACAAAGAGCCTGGTGTATTGTAGCTCTGCGGTATAGTGGTAAATGCTGTTGACTTGTTGTGGTTTTCACCATTAACATGAGAACAAAGCATAACATTTTCTGATCTATTTTGATCTGGAATGGATATGTGTGAAGTTCTCACTGATAAAACTGTTGAAGTACAGGTGACACTTTATATTAACCCCTCGAAATTCTAAAAACAAATTGACAGCACTCTTTCACAAAGAGGGATTTAAGATTTCAAACTGTCTGAAACTTAACTGCAATAGAAATCGCTTATTTTCTTCTTCCAAAGTATCGACAGATAAGAACTCCCAAAACACTGACAGACCTTGTAGCAAACAAGTTATCCAATAAAGTGGTCAATGGAGTTCTATGAAGAAAAGAAAAAAGGTTTTCTACAAATAAAGTAGGAAAACTGCAAGACAAATAAAGTAGGAAAACTACAAGACAAATAATAAAGTCTCAGATGAAGCACCATCCACGAATCAATGCAACTTCCCATTGGACATGCATAAAGACATAAAGCTCTTGCGACCGGCTATCCACTTTCAAAACTCAGCTGAGGACATGCTTATTCCACATTGGATACCGTACAATTAGCCACTACCCCAGCCTATCCCAGGTGAATCACGGATGGTATATTCAGTAGTTTTTTAGTCTCATCAGTGCCTCTGATTAGTCAACAAATTACTGGACTGGATTGGGCATGCAGGCTTAAAGCTGTGATCCCATTTTGCTAGGGAAGACATGATAAAGGAGTACCACAACAAGGCACTTCAAGGACTGGCTATTAAAGCGATACTGAACTGATGAACTTTGTGCTCTAGTGTACTGTTTATTGCACAGCGTCATCTCATGGTCAACTTGCCAACAGTGCGTATCCCAATACCTAACTTCAGCTTTGCAGAGGACTTGATGCAAGAACCAACATCATAGCTAGGGAAGCAGCGAGGTTACGGCACATACTGTTACAGCTGACCCGAGATGGCGTAAGAGGGGATTGTTCGGTAATACTTCTAGTACATGGCTTTAAAGCCACACTGTACTACTTGTAGCTACTTGCTCCCTCTATATAGAAAACAATGCCTAAGCGGTGCCCATTGGTCCCCATGATCCCCTTCTTCTTATGCTAATTGAGAGCTGCTTTGATGAGATTACCACCTGTCAGTGACCTTGCAGGGTGGTCTAATCCCCCTGGCCAAACTAGTACAGATGGGCTTTAATAAACAATTTTTTTTTAATTCTTGTAAAAAAATTCTCTCATGACTGAACAGTTGAAAATAAAAATCAAACATATCTTGGGTAAGCTTGCATTAACGGAGATTTATTATACCAGCAGTACTCCCTGCACATCATCTCCATTGGCATATTAGATGTCTGATCATGTGACTACTTACCATGGTTACTTTGGTCACATGACATCTCGCTCCTGGTCGAGGATTGTCGATCATCTCGGATTCAAAGCGCTCGGCAATCTCACGTTCCTCAACCAGCCCTCCGATATCAAAACTCTGTCTTCTTCCTAATAAATATAAAGAAAGAGAAGGCGAGAAGAGAGAGAGAGAGAGAGAGAGAGAGAGAGAGAAGAAATAACATTATTACCAAAGAACATTTGCTTGAAATCTAACAAATTGTTAGTTTTACTGATACTGATTTTATCAAAAGATGGCAGTATGCCAAAGCAGATAGAGCTAGTACTATATACAAAGGTTTAATTGTCTGTTATACCTCAGTCACATCAACGAGAACGACATCAGACCGGCATCAGACCGACAACAGATCGATCAAACAATGACATTACCTCCCAAGGCTAAGAATCAGTCAGTCTGACTGTGTGACTTTAATTTATTACCAAATCCTCAGCCCAAACCATTTCTAATTTCTGGTTTCAGTTACCTATTTTTTGTCATTTTAGAGCACCATTAGTTGCATGTATACTTGCAACAACATATCCACATTGTCCCCAATATTTATGACCTCATGGATTTCAACTGTTAAATATACTATGTTAAAAGCACATTTTTTGAATATTTCTGGATTTATGAAATTCTTTCAAATGGATTATTCTATAAAATGACTAAAAACCGTCTACTTTTTTTTAATGAAGGGTTAATTCAATTGGTTCAGAGAAGTAACCAAAATGATACAGCACTAGAGAGAGCATTGGTCTTGGTATGGGAACATATCATAGATTTGAGATCAATTCACTGCCCTATATAGCCATAGGTCCTCTGTTACTTACAAGCATACATAAAATTGCTTTCTCAGCATCCAGATAAGATAATTGATCAATCAATCAATAAGCTCTAATAAAGAGGAGTGAATCTTTCTCCATGTAATATATATACTTTGACAGAGATTTTTAATACAATACCAAGGAACTACAGACATTGTTGTTTTAAGCATTTACTAGGCCTTTCTCAGTTACATCCACCCTGCCTACGTGCAAGAAACAGAGTACATGGTGTGCTTGATGAATCATTTCATTAATTCAATAATCTCGAGTCTATTATTGCTAGGATCTTATCTAAATGACGAGGTCCAATTGAACAAGACTGAAATGCTACATGTAAGCAATTTCTTAACCAATTTATAAATCAGATCAATTAATATCTCATAAATGTTGTAATGGGTTTGAACAAGTAACCTGAATACCAGAACATGGAATAAAAGTAGGACAGGGTTTCAACTCTTCTTGAAGAATTGGGTTTAGAGAGTTCAACGTACAGACAAATGACTAGGTCATTCTAGCTAATTTGCCTCATGTTACTTAACTCAACATGAATTGCAATAAACATTGTAACTTTATTTCCTATATCTCCTTAATCCATTTCTCAGCTGTTGAATAGAGTCAGGCTTTCATACGCCAAAAACTTCTGACTGCTTACGTGCGATTCTTTCCATACCGAAGACTTCTAAATGGTATGACAGATTCATATCCTAATTTAAGAAAACTGGTGAAAAATGGCATCTGTGATGACACCAAATTGTATTTCAACAGCAGTAGAATAAAATTTATTGACCTATCTGACAACATTTATTTCTCTTTCACATCAATAGTCAGAGTTGGCTTTAGGAGGACTTGGCACACTCATTCATAATTTCACATTCAATACATGATCAAGGTTAATTGTAAGACAACTTGTGGCACAAATTCCATTCTATTCCTTGGGGGCCCTTGTAAGGCACTCTGGTTGTGTTCACATTCTAGATCCATTAATCTTCTGGAAAAAAAAAAAAATTCTTGAAGATAGGCTGTGGAATGCTTTGCATGAACCAAACTTTTAGAACTGGACTATCCACAGATCTAGCACTCTTACAAGACCCATTGAAACTAGTTTGTGATATTCATCTTACATTATTCATGAATCAACCAAACTTAAAAGAGAATATGCTAAAGAAACCAAAATCACAAATAGACATACACATGTATATATTACTCAAATCTAAGGATTGCTTGATTGTACTACACCACTTTTGAAAACTAATATTGAAAATTATGTCCACAAGGAGATGGACAGTAAGATATTTGTGTGTGGTAAACATAGTATGGGATTCCTTTTGAAATTCCTCCTCATTATAATGATACCTAAATTTTTTGTTATTCAATTATAACGTAAATACTTAATGATAAACATGCTCATGTACAACAAACCAAATTTGCCTGAGTTAACCTCCATTTCTCTTCTTTCAGACTTAATAGAGACGTGTTAAAAAGTTGAAATCTTGAAGTAGGAACACAGCTACTGACCCTGAGAGTGGGTTCATTACAAGGACAAGTCACAAAGAATTCATGGTTTTCTTATAAATAATCTGAATAATGGATGAATACCTGATGAGTCTATGACAGCTACAGTTCAAGGTACACATACACACTCAAGTCATTCACCTTGTTGAGTTCATACTGAAACTAATTTACACAAAATGTTTTTGACGTTACTAGGTCATAATTCTTGGAAGTTATGTTTCCGTATGAATTAGACCTACAAACATTAGACTTACATACTTGTTGTCAAAGTGCAGAGCATCAAAAAGGGGTCAATTTTCTTACCAACTTTCCAGACTAGTTTTATTTTTTTAATACTTAAAAAAGGAAATGAGGGAAATAACAAAATGAATAGCAAGGAAGTGGAAAATAATAACTATTCCTTTGGCAAGATATCAACCTGCACTTGCTACTCTCCACCCAGTTGTTAAATGGGAACCCGGTAGGCTGCGGCCGTCATTGTTGGTCAAACATTTTATGAGCGTCAAGTAATGCCTGGCTGGAATGCTCCCCAGGGAATGGAGATCGAGCACACAGTGTGAGTGGGCAAGCACCGAATCCAATGACCGGGGTAATAGTATATCTGTAAAGTGCTAGAGACATTGTATTAAGCACAATACAAAAGCAGAATATTATTATTCCAAGTACCATACGTATAGAACTTAATAATATCAAGACTACAAAGAAGTCACTGAAATTCATTCTTCTTTCTCTCTCTCTCTCTCTCTATTTCTTTTCTTTTCTTTCTTTTTTGCTGTTGAAACTAGAGATTCCAAGCTTTACAATGACGTATAACATTCTCTAGTAGAACGCACCTAAATTTCACATTTAACAGCAGTCAATAACATCTATCAAGGGAAAGCAACTTTTTTGGCATTTAATCTGTTGTCAGATTTGCAGCGCTTTGCTGGTTTTATGGTGTCAGGTCGCATATACTATGTAAAGACTATGTTACCTTTCAGGCTCCTCGCTTCAGCCTCCAGTGCTTTGATGAGAGTCTCTGTATCAATCTCCTCTTCCTCATCATCCTCCTCCTCCTCCTCCTCTTCCTCATCGTCATCCCCGTCATGATGCAGATGATCCTCATCCTCATCATCAGCCTCATCGTCTCCATCAGTACCCATCGTGCAATGATTCTTTGTCTTGGATTCTTTACTGTTTCCGTTTGGTGATGCTAAATTGGACAAGAAAAAGAAAAAAAAGGGAACAAGTCCAAGATGAATAAAAAATACAATACTTAAAGTGAACTGGTAACATTGTTGAAAGGTGATGAAAAAACTGTTAATTTTTTGAATGAAATGTTACTTATTATATTCCTTCTACTGTACTAACCTTCTAGTATGCACAAATTCTGAAAAAAATTCTCAAACCACAAAAATACTTATTGTTTTCTTTGAAGGGGTCATCACTGTGCGTCACCCACTAACAGTAAATTCTCCTAACCAATTTTTGAATGTTCCAAACCGTTTTTCCATGAAAATAAGACATAAAACAGGCTTTTAAAAATCTGTTAACACTTAAATATTTGGAATGGTATAAAGAGCCAATTCATCGCTTTGTGAAGATTTACATTCACCTAAAATGTATTTAAATTGTAATAATATAGTTGGGAGAATTTAGGAATCGATCAGATCAGTTTTTTATCATTAATAATGGTCAGTTTTCATTCAAACTTTCAGATTATCTTTAATTGTACATCTAGCATTGAAGTCACTACCTTAGCACCATTTTCTCTCTTGATTGGTTATATGTGTATTATTTGATGTCATCTTGGATTTGATAGAATCAACATGTAAGCAAGGTTTGTATTGTTTTTGACATACATACATGTATATTACATGTCACACATGGTGGTAAAGAATTAACACCCAAGATGAACTAAAACACGATGTCTGGCAATTATAAATTACTGAAGCTTATTCAATCTAAGAAACCAGTAAATGCAAAGATATTGTGACATTTGCAAGGTTTCCCCCAACAAACTGCCTCCCCCAACATAACCTGTGTGGTGTGTTCAGAATGATTGAAGGGACCTTTTCTCATCTCTTCATGCTGCATTTACATGTTTGTGTAACCCTACTTACTTGGCTCATCAATAGAGTGCCTCTGGTAGTATCCTGATTTAATGGCTGCTATCCTGTGCTCCAGAAAGCTTTTCTCTACAATTACAAGACGATAACAAAGTAACAAAACATCAAAGCATTTTTCATTTTCTATAAATCATATGGGGCGTTGCAATAAAGTTGTGATTGATTGCAAGTAGCAAAATTTGCAACTGATATTTGCAATCGATTGCAACTCAACTTTCTTGCAAAGCCTCACTAGTCTCCTAAATTTCCTAGGATTTTGTTAGGATTAAAGTTTTAACAATTAAATAAAGTTAACTAGATCTAGCTTTTATTCTTTCCTCACTCTCTCTTACTGATGGGGCGTTGCAAGAAAGTTGAGTTGCGATCAATTGCAAATTTGCAATTAATTGCAAGACTTACGCTTGATTTAGGGGATTTGCAACTGATTGCAACTGTCTTGCAACGCCCCAATAGTGTACAAATGAATTCATATCACAGAATCCTTTGAGGGAAAATTCACTACCTGACTTCACACTTCATTGAGATTGTCCGTAACATGGAAACAGTACAAATACTGGAGTATGTACTCAGGACAGGTCAAGTGATTGATAAAATGACAGGAGAGTGGATTAATGTGTTCTTCCATCTAGCATTTGGCCACTGCTTCATTTAATTCGATGATCATATCCATTTAGTGAGTAACTTACCTAGCATTAACTTGTCTGTTTGTGTATTTTCAAGCTCCTCTGTCAAAGAGCTTATCAGACCCTTCTGTGAACTCACCTAAACATGATTCAAAGAAAACTGAAAATATTGACCTTAGACACAATCATATCATTATTGAATCATAAAGCAGTTGAAATACTTGGGTGTTCTTAAATCTTACCTCATACATAAATGAATCTATTCTAGAGTCCGCTGGCACATTTCTGTTCATTTCTTTACATTTTTCTGGTTCAAACAATCCATCTACTGCATGATAAACAATACAGGATTAATTTTAAAATTATCTCCTGAAACATAATTCCATTACAAAGCTGGAGATACGCTCAAAATTACAGACAAATCCTAATCTAAAGCTGGATTAATGATACTTTCATGTTTGCGAGTGAATTAGTGAACTAGAAAGTATCACAATCTGTATTGCCGCGCAATGCCAATGTATCCCCGGCAGTGGCAGCGATTTTGTGTCATCCTTATGTTCGAAGGAGGGACAAAGATCCCCTCTCCCCTCCCTGAAAAAAAAGGATGGCGTAGAGATCGCCACTAGTGGCTCAGACTATTGTCAAGACTAGGAGCAGCATCACCAAAACAATATGTGTAAAGATTAGAGAAATCTCTGTAGAAAATTTGAAAGAAATGTGGCAGTTAGAGCGCACAAAAGACAGCCGTCAAAATATGACTTTTGACCATATAACAGACGGAACACAGGTGGCAGTATCACCAAACACTAAAGATGTGCAGATTTTACTAAGACACACCTTCATACAACATTTGAAAGAAATCCGTCAAGGAATGTGGCAGTAAGAGCGCACACAAGAATATGACGCGGTGGATGCGGCAGCGTAACGCTGCTGAATTCAAATTACACCACCGAAATACTGCTAGGGGATACAATTACAATGACGGCACTTCTTAAAGGTACTATGTCCCTTTTGCAGCCAACGTCAAATTCTGTAACACTTTGCAGGAATTATAAATATGTCATGTATGTCCTATCTGTGAAATTTAAAAGTTAGCAGTGTCCTAATAATCACATCTCCCTATATGAGAGAACACCCTGTTCTGCTTTACCCCTCCCTAGAAGAGAGAACACCCTGTTCTGCTCCACCCCTCCCTAGAAGAGAACACCCTGTTCTGCTTCAGCCCTCCCTAGAAGAGAGAACACCCTGCTCTGCTCCACCCCTCCCTAGAAGAGAAAACACCCTGTTCTGCTTCATCACTCCCTAAAAGAGAGAACACCCTGTTCTGCTTCACCCCTCCCTGGAAGAGAGAACACCCTGTTCTGTGTCACCCCTCCCTTGAAGAGAGAACACCCTGTTCTTCTTCACCCCTCCCTTGAAGAGGGAACATCCTGTTCTGCTTCACCCCTCCCTAGAAGAGAGAACACCCTGTTCTGCTCCACCCCTCCCTAGAAGAGAAAACACCCTGTTCTGCTTCATCGCTTCCTAAAAGAGAGAACACCCTGTTCTGCTTCACCCCTCCCTGGAAGAGAGAACATCCTGTTCTGTTTAACCCCTCTCTAGAAGAGAGAACACCCTGTTCTGCTTCACCCCTCCCTTAAAGAGAGAACAACCTGTTATGCTGCACCCCTCCCTCGAAGAGAGAACATCCTGTTCTGCTTCACCCCTCCCTTGAAGAGAAAACATCCTGTTCTGCTTCACACCTCCCTTAAAGAGAGAACACCCTGTTCTGCTTCACCCATCCCTTTTAGAGAGAGCATCCTATTCTGCTTCACCCCTCCCTAGAAGAGAAAACACCCTGTTCTGCTTCACCCTTCCCTTGAAGAGAGAACACCCTGTTCTTCTTCACCCCTCCCTTAAAGAGAGAACACCCTGTTATGCTGCACCCCTCCCTCAAAGAGAGAACATCCTGTTCTGCTTCACCCCTCCCTAAAAGAGAGAACACCCTGTTCTTTGTCACCCCTCCCTTGAAGAGAAAACATCCTGTTCTTCTTCACCCCTCCCTTAAAGAGAGAACACCCTGTTCTGCTTCACCCTTCCCTTGAAGAGAGAACACCCTGTTCTTCTTCACCCCTCCCTAGAAGAGAGAACATCCTGTTCTGCTTCACCCCTCCCTAGAATAGAAAACATCCTGTTCTGCTTCACCCCTCCCTAGAAGAGAGAACACCCTGTTCTGATTCACCCCTCCCTTGAAGAGAGAACATCCTGTTCTTCTTCACCCCTCCCTTAAAGAGAAAACATCCTGTTCTTCTTCACCCCTCCCTTGAAGAGAGAACATCCTGTTCTGCTTCACCTGTCCCTAGAATAGAAAACATCCTGTTCTGCTTCACCCCTCCCTTGAAGAGAGAACATCCTGTTCTGCTTCACCCCTCCCTTGAAGAGAACACACCCTGTTCTACTTCACCCCTCCCTAGAAGAGAGAACACCCTGTTCTGCTTCAGCCCTCTCTTAGAGAGAGAACATCCGGTTCTGCTGCATCCCTCTCTTGAAGAGAGAACATCCTGTTCTGCTTCACCCCTCCCTAGAAGAGAGAACACCCTGTTCTTCTTCACCCCTCCCTTGAAGAGAGAACATCCTGTTCTGCTTCACCCGTCCCTAGAATAGAAAACATCCTGTTCTGCTTCACCCCTCCCTTGAAGAGAGAACATCCTGTTCTGCTTCACCCCTCCCTTGAAAAGAACACACCCTGTTCTGCTTCACCCCTCCCTAGAAGAGAGAACACCCTGTTCTGCTTCACCCCTCCCTTAGAGAGAGAACATCCGGTTCTGCTGCATCCCTCTCTTGAAGAGAGAACATCCTGTTCTGCTTCACCCCTCCCTAGAAGAGAGAACACCCTGTTCTGCTCCACCCCTCCCTAAAAGAGAGAACACCCTGTTCTGAGTCACCCCTCCCTTGAAGAGAAAACACCCTGTTCTTCTTCACCCCTCCCTTAAAGAGAGAACACCCTGTTCTGCTTCACCCTTCCCTTGAAGAGAGAACACCCTGTTCTTCTTCACCCCTCCCTTAAAGAGAGAAAACCCTGTTATGCTGCACCCCTCCCTCGAAGAGAGAACATCCTGTTCTGCTTCACCCCTCCCTTGAAGAGAGAACATCCTGTTCTGCTTCACCCCTCCATTGAAGAGAGAACATCCTGTTCTGCTTCACCCCTCCCTAGAAGAGAGAACAGCCTGTTCTGCTTCACCCCTCCCTAGAAGAGAGAACATCCTGTTCTGCTTCACCCCTCCCTTGAGGAGAGAACATCCTGTTCTGCTTCACCCCTTCCTAGAAGAGAGAACACCCTGTTCTGAGTCACCCCTCCCTTGAAGAGAAAACACCCTGTTCTTCTTCACCCCTCCCTTAAAGAGAGAACACCCTGTTCTGCTTCACCCTTCCCTTGAAGAGAGAACACCCTGTTCTTCTTCACCCCTCCCTTAAAAAGAGAAAACCCTATTATGCTGCACCCCTCCCTCGAAGAGAGAACATCCTGTTCTGCTTCACCCCTCCCTTGAAGAGAGAACATCCTGTTCTGCTTCACCCCTCCCTTGAAGAGAGAACACCCTGTTCTGCTCCACCCCTCCCTAAAAGAGAGAACACCCTGTTCTGAGTCACCCCTCCCTTGAAGAGAAAACACCCTGTTCTTCTTCACCCCTCCCTAGAAGAGAGAACACCCTGTTCTGCTTCACCCCTCCCTTAGAGAGAGAACATCTGGTTCTGCTGCATCCCTCTCTTGAAGAGAGAACATCCTGTTCTGCTTCACCCCTCCCTAGAAGAGAGAACATCCTGTTCTGCTTCACCCCTCCCTTGAAGAGAGAACACCCTGTTCTTCTTCACCCCTCCCTAAAAGAGAGAACACCCTGTTCTGAGTCACCCCTCCCTTGAAGAGAAAACACCCTGTTCTTCTTCACCCCTCCCTAGAAGAGAGAAAACCCTGTTATGCTGCACCCCTCCCTTAGAGAGAGAACATCTGGTTCTGCTTCACCCCTCCCTTGAAGAGAGAACATCCTGTTCTGCTTCACCCCTCCATTGAAGAGAGAACATCCTGTTCTGCTTCACCCCTCCCTAGAAGAGAGAACAGCCTGTTCTGCTTCACCCCTCCCTAGAAGAGAGAACATCCTGTTCTGCTTCACCCCTCCCTTGAGGAGAGAACATCCTGTTCTGCTTCACCCCTTCCTAGAAGAGAAAACACCCTGTTCTTCTTCACCCCTCCCTAGAATGGAGAACACCCTGTTCTGCCTCACCCCTTCTTTAAAGAGAGAACACCCCGTTCTGCTTCACCCATCCCTTTTAGAGAGAGCATCCTATTCTGCTTCACCCCTCCCTAGAAGAGAGAACACCTTGTTCTACTTTACCCCTCCCTTGGAAGAGAGAACACCCTGTTCTGCTTTACCCCTCCCTTGAAGAGAGAACATCCTGTTCTGCTTCACCCCTCCCGTGAAGAGAGAACATCCTGTTCTGCTTCACCCCTCCCTTGAAGAGAGAACATCCTGTTCTGCTTCACCCCTCCCTTGAAGAGAGAACATCCTGTTCTGCTTCACCCCTCCCTTGAAGAGAGAACATCCTGTTCTGCTTCACCCCTCCCTAGAATAGAAAACATCCTGTTCTGCTTCACCCATCCCTTGAAGAGAGAGCATCCTATTCTGCTTCACCCCTCCCTTAACGAGAGAACACCCTGTACTGCTTCACCCATCCCTTGAAGAGAGAGCATCCTATTCTGCTTCACCCCTCCCTAGAAGAGAGAACACCCTGTTCTACTTTACCACTCCCTTGAAGAGAGAACATCCTGTTCTGCTTTACCTCTCCCTTGAAGAGAGAACACCCTGTTCTGCTCCACCCCTCCCTAGAATAGAAAACATCCTGTTCTGCTTCACCCCTCCCTAGAATAGAGAACATCATGTTCTCCTTCACCCCTCTCTAGAAGAGAGAAAATCCTATTCTGCTTCACCTCTCCCAAGAAGAGAGAACACCCTGTTCAGCTTCACCCTCCTAGAAAAGAGAACACCCTGTTTTGCTTCACCCCTCCCAAGAAGAAAAAACACCCTGTTCTGCTTCACCCCTCCCTATTAGAGAGAACATCCTGTCCTGCTTCACCCCTTCCTAGAAGAGAGAACACCCAGTTCTGCTTCACCCCCCCCCCCTAGAAGAGAGAACACCCTGTTTTGCTTCACCCCCTCCCCCCCTAGAAGAGAGAACACCCTGTTCTGCTCCGCCCCTCCCAAGAAGAGAGAACATCCTGTTCTGCTTCACCCCTCCCTAGAAGAGAGAACATCCTGTTCTGCTTCACCCCTCCCAAGAAGAGAGAACACCATGTTCTGCTTCACCCCTCCCTAGAAGAGAGAACATCCTGTTCTGCTCCGCCCCTCCCAAGAAGAGAGAACATCCTGTTCTGCTTCACCCCTCCCTAGAAGAGAGAACATCCTGTTCTGCTTCACCCCTCCCAAGAAGAGAGAACACCATGTTCTGCTTTACCCCTCCCTAGAAGAGAGAACATCCTGTTCTGCTTCACCCCTCCCTAGAAAAGAGAACACCCTGTTATGCTTCACCCCTCCCTAGAAGAGAGATTCTACCAAGATACATTTTTAATTCTCTATGCAAAATTAGAAAAAAAATCCATCATGAAATATGACCTGCAGAGCACACAATAGACACTCACCAGAATATGACCTTTTGACCCTATAGAAGATTGAAAACTGGGGGCAGCATCACCAAAAGTTGTAGGTGTGTAGATTATACCAAGAAACACCTCCATACAAAATTTGAAAGAAATCCGTTAAGGAATGATGCAGTTGGAGCGCAATCTAGAGTGCCACGAAGACATCTATCAAAATATGACCTTTGACCGTATAAAAGACGGAACACTGGAGGCAGCATCACCAAGATCTATAGGCTTGTAGATTATACCAAGATACACCTTCATTTAAAATTTGAACTAAATCCCTTGAAAAATGTGGCCTATAGAGCACACACAAACCATCCAAACAAATATGGCCTTTTAACCTACATGTATAGAAGACGGAACACTGGGGCATCATCACCAAAAGTTGTAGTTGTGTAGATTATACCAAGATACACCTCCATAAAACATTGGAAAGAAATCTGTCAAGGAACGATGCAGTTAGACTGCACACTAGAGTGCACACAAGTCGCCTATCAGAATATGACCTTTGACCCTATAAAAGACGGAACACTAGAGGCAGCATCGCCAAATTCTATAGGCTTGTAGATGATACCAAGATACACTTTCGTTTAAAATTTGAACGGAATGAGTTTTCCCTTTAAAAATGTGGCCTATAGAGCGGACCAAAAAATATGGCTTTTTACCCTATAGAAGATGGAACACTGGGGGCAGCATCACCAAAAGTCAAAGGTGTTGAGATTATACCACGATACACCTCCATACAAACTTTGAAAGAAATCCGTAAGGAATGTGGCAGTTAGAGCGCACACAAGAATATGACGCGGCGGATGCTGCTGCTGCTGAATCCAAAGTACCCCACCGGCATACTGCCGGGGGGTACAATAAGCACTGCACACAGATTAAGTCACAATTAGATAATGGATGAGATTTGTCGAGTTCATTATCCAGCTTACTGCTACTGAACCGAATGCAAGCAATATCACTTATGCACAAGCTTTAAAACATGAATTATTTGTTTTATAAAACGGGTCTAACATACAAATATAAAGTTAAGATGTAAGCAACAAACCTGAAAAAAATGCCATGCTTTGCCGTCATGGGGGGGTGCCATTTGCTTTGCATGACAAACAGCCAAACAGTGTGAGGCACGTCTCAGTGTGTGCATCAATGTCCTTGCTACTTGCAACTATGTGCATTTCATCGCGTCTTGATTTTGTACGCACCAGAGATATGCATACACGCACCTTACGCGTGCATTATCACTTCAGCCGTGGGTTATCACGTTTTCACGGGAGATTCTTTTGCATATTGTAGGCATGGTAGGAAAGAATGATGCATGACCATGTGGTGTCATTTAACAACGTAGATAACCTACACTCTAGACCCATTTTATGAGTCTAAATGTGACGTGCACTCTACAAGATTATAATAATATTATTACAGTCAAACCTGCTTTAGTGACCACCTGTCTACAAAGGCCACATTTGTTGTTTCCCTTGGAAATGGTTTCTCATTGAATCATGTACTAAAGGAACCTGTCTACAAAGGCAACTTTTGTGTTTCCATTGGGCAGTCGCTATAGACAGGTTTGACTGTATCTATAATCTACCTACCAGAGCACGAAGGGCAATGACCTCATGTCTTAACTTCATGATGCAAGCAACCTGACCTTGGTACGCGTCTCTGCTCCTCTCTGTCCACTTCTGGAGCTCCATCTCGATCTCTTTCAGGTCCAGGCTCATGTCTGTCTCCTTCAAGATTGTTTGTCCTGATGAAGACAAAGTTTGTTGAGATGAGGAAAATAACAACTGAACATTCAAATCGTTATGGTTACGTAAATGAGACGAGAAAATAAAATGTAGTGTAATTGCAACAATCCAAACTTTTTTTTCAATATCGCTTGCATTTGTGCAAAAGTAAATGGAAATAGAAATTAAGACCAGGCTACTTTTTTTTTTATACAAATTCACAGGACTATTTAGGATGCGCAATTAAAAGAAAAATTAAAATACATTGAAACATTTTGCTTCATACTTCCAAAATTGATTGCACAGTTCTCATCCCTCAAACAGTTCATTAAATGGAGATTTCATATGTATACGGTAGGCAAGTCACACCTTATTTGGGTGCACTTTGAGAACCTACTCCATTCTTTGTACAAGAGGGGGGGGGGGGGGGGGGAGGGGAGACTAGGTGTCGTTGCACATCTTCCAATTTGTAATATTAGGAAGAGAGACCTGGGGTGTTTCACAAAGCCTTTTTTCAATGACAAATGACAAAAATCAGTGACAAATCTGCTGATAACCAATCAGAAGCAAGGATTTCAGTAGCTTAGAACAAAAACTGTAATTTGTCACTGATGACAAGTTTTTTGAAACACCCCCCTAAAGGTTACAGTGATTAAGTTGCTGTCTCCCTCACAAGCTCAAATGATACTGAGTAATTAGTAATCAAGATGACAATGATAAGAGATGAATTTTAAATATGGAAGTATCTTGAACACAGCTATAAACAATCATCCTGAAGTAACCTACCAACGAATGGAGGTATGTAGCACATGAGTGTGCAGTTTGTCCAGTTATCAGCCAAGTCAGAGTATTTACTGTTGAGGACAATGTCATCGTTGAAGCCATGAAGAGCGAAGAAATCCACCGCAGAATGATCTGCATAAACCACCAAGGAATCGTAATGTCCAACAATGCTCACATCTTTCATTTGCTGAAGGAACGGAATGGAAAAGAAACAAGACTCAAGTGGTATTATATGCTCTCCCTTAAATCAGTCAGATCTCTAGCCCCCCCCCCCCCCCCCCCATATGATTTCCACAATGTTACTCCCAGTTGCCAACCCAAGCCCTTCAGGTACTTCAATTTATGACATCTCCTTGCTCTCGTACAATCAATCCATGCATCAATGGCCAAATCGTTCATGTCTATACTTTCCAACAAGAGTCAAACAGTGCTTTCCAATCACATTATTTAGATTTCACCTTTCTGAATCATGTCAAGCACTTGTGAGTTGTTAAAAATTAACCTGATTTCTCAAATATATCTTATGAACACTTAAGAAACAAATCTTTTTGTATATTTAGCATGCAGCAATACTTTACAAGTACTGCCAAAAGTAATGTATACTGTTACTGTATATTGCCACCATCCCTTAAATTTACCACCATCACCTCCATCACCACCACCATCATCACTACTACTACATTGTACTTGTTAATACAAGTGAATGTATGAATGATGGAGGAATCAAAGGAGCTTACCCTTAATAAATATCTTCCAATGCCACACCTTCTGCATCTCTTTCTCACTCCCATCAAGTCTATCTGTACTATCTTCTCCCCAGGACGACTGTTGGGTAAAATTACAAAGTATCACAAGTGAAAAATGGTTATGTATGCTTGTGTTAAGAGCACAAAAAGTTAGTTTTGATTGTTGTTCAAATGCATTGTCCTTATTATATCTGTGCATTGTAATCTTTATTATCGGTATTATAATCATGAAATTCATGTTCAATTAAATATCAATACAATGAGACGGAAGGTATCAATATCTTTAGACTTGGTGTGCAGGGTTATAAATAAAGCATGATTCACAAGATAACATTTCTTCAACTTCATTGTTGATGTAAGTTGGTGGTAGTATACAGTATGCACAATGGCACTCCTGTAAAGTTAACTCATTTACTGATGATCCTGTAAGCATAACATCATAGCTGCAAACTGTGATTTTCCTGAGCTTATATTCCACAGATTTATTTTATACCATTTCTCTGGATGTGAGGCCATTCACTTCAACTGACTACTAAATTCTTTCATTCCCTGTAGGCTAAATACAGGAACCACCAAGTTCTTTTAAGAAATGGGTTGATAGAGATGGTCCAAAATCAACAGTCTGGCTCATTTCCAAGTTTTCAGGTAGACAACCACCACGATTAAAAATAAAGGATTTTTTGTGCACTTAAAAAAAATTAGATTACACAATTAAGAGGAAAAACTCACATATGAGACTTTTCCCAAGTAGCACAAGCCACGATCCTTGACTCAATCCCGACCGTTGATTCTACTTCTTCCAGGGTTGGGTTTAAACTCAACTCCTCTCTTCTTTCCTTCCTCTGTTTCACCAATCTCAAGAATTCATTGATGCCTTTTGAAAAGTCCATTTCTTCCTCTTCATCTTCACTGTTGAGATAAATATAACAATTACAAATATGAAACTTCGCAATTCAATAGCAAAGAGGACTCTTCACCCACTTTGGGGGTATTACAAGACAGTATACTGGTAATACAAAATGTGAGAGCAAGCTGTAGCCCATCTTTACTACTCAGAATGAGTTATCACAGTAGTAAAGGAATTTAGTTTCACTGAATCTGAAGTACTGTACATGAACTAAGTAAAACTCATGTTCGGAAAACTGGACTGGAGAGGGGATAGTTTACATACTTCAGACTACTGGTACATAAAACACAATTTTATTCAAATAAAATTATCTAGACAACTCAAATCATTCCAAAAAAAAAGGGGGGGGGGATCCATTGTAATGCATGTGTGACTGTGTGTAACAAAAATATAAAATCTTGGCATCATTTCACGAAACTGTCATAGGTACAAGTTCTTCAATGTCCAATCGAAATGCGTGTGTTGTAATTACCACACGTTCCTACGGGATGTTGGTGAACTTATACTTCCTGAAACGCTGCCCTGATGAACAATCTAATGTAGATCAGCTCGCTGTTTCCTTTTGAGGAAACTCATCCCAATATAAAATGACTCTTTTTACAAAGTCAATATATTTCAGACATCATCATTACTTCAAAATAATTTATACTTGATAGGAATTTGCTTGTGATACATCTGAACTGCCTATACACACTGTTGTGAAAATGACAATTTGAATTTACCTTTCTTCCTCTTCACTATCCGAATCACTGAAGACATCGGCAAACACTTTCCGCTGCTCTTCCTCCTCCAACACATCCTCTGCATCCTCCTTAGCAACTTCACCTGTATCATCCTTAGCAACTGTATCTTCATCATCACCCTTTCGCCTTCCATCCTCATCATCAACGTCTTTATCATTCCCTTTCACATCAGTTGCTTCTCCCCCACCATCGCCTCCAAGTAGTCTCAAAAGAGGACTTTCTTTGGATCCATCAACACTGTTTGGCACCTCTCCATCATCAGAGTCTATTTCCTTAGATTGAGTGCCAGGGCTGAGGGTAGAGTCCTTGTTGTTCGTGTTGGAATTATTGTTCTCTGGTACTGTTTCTTTGGCTGCGGTAGTGGTCTCTACTTCTCTTTCCCTTTGTAGAATCTTCTGCTGTAGTTCCTTAGCAACATCTAGTTGAAGGCAAAGGTATATCCAATGACATTACAGTACAAATTTCTACTTTTAACATTGATTCTTGGTAGACTGTTTGGTACCTAGCCATTATTTTGAATGTCAAGTAAGGTGAAAATAACCTCATCATTTTTATTTTTTTTTTAAACAAAAAAAAGCCCACTCATGCGATATAAATGGACCAAATAACCCACTAAATTGTTTACATCATTTTACTGCAGGAGAAAAAAATGCAGTGTCACATCTAATCACATAAAAAATGGATTATTCTTGTGAAGCACTGTCTAGCTGACCAGGCTAACTGTTTAGTCTTCATCCAGATTTCTCTATTCTCATTCCTTACTTGAAAAATAGTGTAGAATCCATGACCATATTAGATATAGATCAGGTAAAAGGAAAAACTCCACAAAGTGTAAGTATGACCTTAGAAATACTTCCTCCTCCAAGAATTTATCTTCCAGGTCAGTTTGCACAACTGTCATGCTTTTTGAAAAAGTAAATGAAACAATAACAAACAACAGGGCACGGATGAAAGGAGAGGAAAAGAAAGAAAGAAGAGGAAGTAGACAAGTAGATTCCCTCACCTTTGGTACTTCTGATAAGTATTAATGTTTTGGCCAATTTTCCAGTCACTGTTGCATAGAGGACCAGAGGTGTGATGTCTGGGAGACAGGTGTCGTAGAGACCTACTACTGTATGGAGAAGCTCAACATTGGAAACCTGCAAGAGACAGTAAAGAAGAACAAAGTTTCACTGATAATTTCGATTTGGGTGCAGTCTAAATGATTATCATTGTTCTCTAGAAGGTCTAGACTATTTAATTTGATTGTGAGTTTCTTCTTCATTTGTTTAAAAAGGAGTTTAATAGGGAAGAGTGCCCAGTATTCGGTCACTTAAGGGAAAATCGCTAATATTTTGAATTCTTACCTCTTTTATTTGGCAATCTACCCATCAAAAGAAAACAAAATTATTCCTCTAACAGGATTTTAAAGTCACTTAAAATATAGAATGATGATAAGCAAAATACTTCCGAAAGAAGACGGAGCATTTTTCTGCCCAGAATTCGGTCGCGCGATTTGTGCGTGGTATCTCCGTTACCAAGGAGTGAAGCGTATTTGCGCACTATTGACCGAATACTGGACGAGCGATACCGCATGACAAGGGTATCGTACTATAAATACCTCTTGCACATCGGCAAGTGCGTCATTTGCAAATTCGCTGCGATGGAGTGAACACGGAAGTGATTCTCTTCACACACATACTAAATTCATTGTGACAGCACACGTAGTTGTTTCGCAATAGACTTCTACATATGGCTATGCATGTTAGCGCATGTGCTAACAGAACGCGGAAGTGCAGAAAGTTGTGCGACACTGACCAATTTCAAGCTAAGTTGGAGATCTTTCCGGGGCCCTAAATCTGATGTAATTTTGAGAGTTAAGAAAAGTTGTTCAGCTGCCTGATTTGTGCAAGTTTCGTGGCTCATAAATCATTTTTTTAATTGTTACAGCTGTTGAAACGGCCGTCTGACCGAGTACTGGGAATGGACCGAATACTGGGCGTGCTACCCCAGGCTATAGCACTTTGAAGTGTAGACTATATGGAGGTACTGTTACTTAGAACATCATGGTCATGCCATGGCATAGAATCTTAGACATATTTCTGTATATCCAGACTCCAGACATCTAGACCTAGATCTATTCTAGAGTCTAGACGTATGTTTAATTTTAATCCTTCAAAAATCTGAGAATTAAAAAAAATATTCATTAGATCTATCAATAATCAATCATAATAAAAAGAGGCTTTCAGAGCTATAAATTGAGATAGGCATAGCCATAGGCCTCTAGATCTAGTCTATCTCATACTTAAGAGATAGACAGTGAATGATGTCAATATTTACATCGACCCACTTCATGTTATTAGTTAGAAATAGTCGAGCTGCGGGGGCCGGTCAGGCAGGGTCAATCTTTACTTTCATGGTACCCCGACGTTCAGGCGGCAAGTACTCTGGGTTACCGGTGGCTCCCGCTAAATACTTACACCGGGCACAACATCAATGCCGTTGCTCTTGACGCTCTCAAGGAGACGGCGGAATTCAACAATAACAGGCAAACACGCTATTTCTTGACTTGGTTTGCTATGTGCGGTAACTTTTTCCGTTGAATATGTATCGCTTGCTGCATCTTTAGCTAATTTTAATAACCCTGATCCTTTTAGACGACGTTTACGGGTGAAATTTGCAGCGCTCAGCCGCACAGAAATTAATCCCAAGGGCGCGGCCATCTTTATTTTTTTACCAGGCTCTATACAATCGTTTCTTGTTAAAGATTATAATTTTTGTAAGTCGAACTTCAATTTTATCAGAAAAATCATTATATAATTATAAAATTTGATAAATATATATGATTTGAATAATGAATCTTTGAAAATTATTCAAAACCGTTATCTACATTTTGATTGATTCCTTATTCATCACTCAATTTAGTTGGAATGATTGAATTTCATTGAGTCTCCAATCTCACCTCACTTCACGATGTCGAATAAAACAATAGCTTATTTCTACGATGCAGACGTTGGAAACTTTCATTATGGTAAGTGGAAAGTAACGCCGTATATTATTTGTATAAGAAGGTTTCATGCAATTTTAAACAAGTTTTAAATCATAGAACATCGTCTGGTCTGAACGCGGGGAAGTCATCCTCCCGCACAGACACCGTGCACCGCATTCACTGAATCACGAAACAAAGGACTTGCATGAATGAATGGGACGACGTGTTGGAAATGGAAGGAAGCTAGGTCAAGTTCTAGCTTTAAAAGCCTTGATGTAATGTTTGTCAAGTTAAAGAAATTAAAGTATTTAAGTAACTTTAGTGTAGACAAATAGTGACTGATCTTTAGTCTTTTCACCCACAATAATGTTGTTGTCTTGACTTGACTGTTGATGTTGTTGATTGTCAATGTCGTGCATCACAATCATCATGTTCATGATGATTGTGATGTGGATGTGGAATTAAATGAAAAGTAAAGTAAAGTCATGAACGTGAATGATGCAAGCACAAGTGACTGAAATTAATGACTTGTGATGGTGAAGAATTCAATATCGAAAAGAAATATGTGAAACATAATCCATTATAAAAAAAATTATCTGATAACACTAGCCTACAGTGAGTTATCAATACCATTTTTTATCAGTGAAACAAGGTACTAGGAATCATGGAGGGGGGGGGTATGTTAAAATACATACTAATATGTTACAAGGGATAATCTAGGAGGTAGATGTGTTTTGATTATGTAACATGAGAAAATAAATTTAATGTTCTGCCAGCATTAACATAAGAAATGTTGAATAACTTTACTCACTCCAGCTTCGTACTTAGTCCATACAGCATTGGTTCATCGAGTCAACGTAATGCCAGCAGCAGTGGTGACTTTTTACTACTACCTTCACATCCTAGGCATTGACTTTGTGATCTACAGTCATAGTTGTCATTAAATCCAAAGGCAAAAGTGACAACTTTAATTTTGTGTATGGACACGCAACCTTTTGTCCGTTGTCACCTTCATGTATCTTGTAGGAATCTAGGCCTTTTGAGCATTCTTAATGCATGCATTACATATAAGTGCTACTTTTCAATATTTGAATGAATGTCACACTTGCTTCTTTAGGTCCTGGTCATCCCATGAAGCCTCACAGATTAGCACTCACACACAATCTAGTACTCAACTATGGCCTCTACAAGAAAATGCAGGTAAGATATCTAATTTCTTATACCAAGTCCTTTTAAAATATAATGCCACCGGCAAAAATTCAGTTCATCATTTGTAACTTAAGACTCAATTCCGAGAACTGTTAACACCATGTTAAATGTTAAGGGATAGAGTAACGTCGATCTGGCGCTGCTCAGTGGCTGCCGGGCTCACGATCAATTGGGCAAAAGAATTTCCGTTTCAGTTTAATAAAATTTGGAGTGGACTATTAGGCTGTTATATTATATATGTCATTAGTTAATGTCCTTCAAGCTCCAAACGGATGATGTGTAACCAAGATATCAAACATTGACAGTTCAAACTTTTATGTACAATTTTAGACTTTATAAATCAGAAAATGCTTTCATTTTTATGTCAAGTAGGGTATAGAGAATGTCAGCAAAATTCCTCCGACATGTAGCTGTTTTGTTGAATTTATTAAAGAATAAATGGATATGTAATACTCAATGAGAATTGTTATTGTATGTGTTTCTAATATTAATAAAAAAATATCAAGTAACTATTTCATTGATTAAAATATGGCATATTAGAATGTGTAATTAATTGTGCAGATTTTAATTCTTATCAGTGCATTGTCACACATTTATCTTTAAAAAAACATGTTTAGAATTTATTAATCTGAGGAAAAATTAAAACATGCATATGATCTCTTTCCTATCCTCTCCAAGATTTACAGACCATACAGGGCTACAGCACACGACATGTGCAGATTTCATTCAGATGACTACATTGACTTTCTACAAAGAGTAACACCGCAGAACATCCAGAATTTCACCAAGAGCTTAAGTCATTTCAATGTCGGTGACGACTGTCCAGTTTTTCCAGGTCTCTTTGACTTCTGTTCCATGTACACAGGAGCATCTTTAGAAGCAGCAACCAAACTCAACAACAATGTGAGAGTTGTTATGCATTTCATTTTTATCCATAGTATTAATCAGACTTAACAATCTGTTTCCCTAAGTAGTGCTTATGACTAGTAGTATACAGATGTAAAAGCTCTTGGGAAATTCCTCCAAATGTTAGACTTTGTGTACTTGTAGATATGTTTATGGGAGGAAGCTCTTGTGCAATGATATTGATCATTTTAGATTATGTTGATTTTATTTACCCTGCTTTAATTTGTCCTTTCAACTGGAACCATTCAATGCTTTCCATGTAGGGTTATCTCTGCCTTTGAATTTGATAAGGTTCCATAAACACATCAGCTCTATAGTAAACCATTTTGATGAAAGTTGTTTAAGAATAACTCAGGAAATAACAGCTAGAAATGGATTTCAAGGATTTTGAAAGTAATATACTAAATGTATTTTGGGGAAATTTTGTTTCCTTTACAGCTGTGTGATATTGCAGTGAACTGGGCAGGTGGTCTTCATCACGCTAAGAAGTTTGAGGCTTCAGGGTTCTGCTATGTCAATGATATCGTCATTGCTATTCTGGAAATCCTTAAGTAAGATACATACAATTAACAAATAAATTATTATCCCTTGAAAATTCAAAACAAAACTTATATGTGCGTGTATTTAAATTCAAGAATGAAAGATGGACTGGTTGAATACTTTTACATGTAGAGCTTTAATATGTCACATTCTCAAAAAACATAAATCAGGACAAATTATTTTTTCACATACTTAAAAATTACAAAACTTTGTAAGAGTATGAATAATTTATTTGTGAATGACATATATTGATATATGTCAACATGGTCAAAGCTTGTAAAATGTTAAGGATAGAATAAGAGCACTGAATGCTTTATTTATCAAGGATATGACTTACTAAGATTTTAGCAGAGGAAGAAGAACAAGAAGAACAAGAAGAAGCAGTTGATTTCCTCTTTTTGTCTCATAGAAATGTATATGAATGTGGATATTTTAGCCTGTAATTGGTATGTCTAATTTCTTTCAGAAGTGATATTTGCCATTTGTGGTGTATGGTGTACTAATTGTAAGTCTGATTCAAGTAGATCAGGCTTTTCCCAATTTATCTTCTTCTTTTTCTTCTTTTTACTTGCAAGCATATTTTTAAAATTTAAGTAAATGGGTGTCAATATGAGACATTACCTTTATTCCTTTTCCACATCTGTTGATTATGATTGTGTCAATTGTTTTCAAGAAATTCACCATTCTTGATCCCTTCTCTGTCAGGTATCACCCTAGAGTGCTGTACATTGATATAGACATCCACCACGGAGATGGGGTTCAAGAAGCATTCTACCTCACAGACAGGGTCATGACAGTATCATTCCACAAGTATGGCAATCACTTCTTTCCAGGCACAGGTAAGGGTAGATTAAAAGCACACAAATCGCTTCATTTTCATTTATTTTTGCACGTAAATAAACGGCAACTGCATGCAACTAAGGTCCTACGTGTATTCACTGAGCTCTGTGTTCTAAGATACAGAAATGTTAAGCGTATTATGCTTTACGTCTTCATATTTAAGGAAAACGCTATAGTTTCCTGCTGCATATCTGAACAAGGATTTAAAGGTTTGGAAACAAAGACAGTTGAAGTTTTTTATTTTTAAATGCATTTTCCTGAGAATACCAAGCATTGAATACCCTTATCACCCCTAGCTTCAGCCCAGCTTCCATGATAAAGGTACTTAAATCCAAGGAATTTCTCTTTACTAGGTACCTGTTTTATCAGGGGCATTTCAGCATTGATTTGAATTCTGTAATATGTGGTTCATAGTTTATAGTCTCTTGACATATCCATGAGACCACAATACCTCTTTGATTTGGTAGAACTGTTGTTGAAATATAAACGTAATCATAACAGCATACATATCTTTTTTTTCTTTCAATTGTAATTAGAAAATTTATTCAATTGGAGGCTAAATTAAACATGTTAAATGTCACTTGTCAGACTTTGTAGCAATTTACTCTTTAACCTATGAAATACTAAATCTGAGATTACTAGTTAAAAGTTATTCATTTTGTGATTGTTTATGCTTGAAATGATCTCTAAAGAAATTCAGATGAGTCACATTAACTTTGAATTTTAAGCGTACAGCGATCTGTCTAATACGTTCACTAACTCTGTTATAATTCCCATCTCTTTATTTCCTTACATTTCAGGTGACATGTATGAGGTTGGTTTAGAGAATGGTCGTTACTACTCCATCAATGTACCTCTCAAGGATGGCATAGATGATCTCATGTACTCTGGCCTCTTCAAACCAGTTATACAAAGTGTTATGGAGTTCTACAGACCTTCATGTATAGTCCTACAGGTAAGTCTCTCAAACTGTATGCTTTAATATAAACCTGAATGTTATGGTTATAAATAATTTTCAAATAATTATCTCTTGTCCCCTGATTTGGAAGGTTAATATCTTTTAGATTGCTTGTTTTAAAGCCCTACTGTCCTACTTGTAGCTACTTGCTCGCTCTATATAGAAAACTTCCCCAATCGGTGCCTGTTGGTCCCCCATGATCCTCTATTTCTTATGTTATTTGAGAGCTGAGTTGATGAGATAGCCACCTGTCAGTGACCTCGCTGTGTGGTCTAATCCCTCCTAGCCACACTAGTGTTGATAAGCTTTAAAGCCTATCTGCACTAGTTTGGACAGGAGGGATTAGCAGGGTTCGTACGGGTCAGGGAATTTCTGGAAAGTCAGGGAATTTAAAAATGTTTTTTCCAGAAGCAAAAAGTCAGGGAAAGTCAGGGAATTCATCCATTTCTTCTGGAAAGTCAGGGAAAATATTTTTTTCTTCAAGATGTTTGTTAAAATGGCATTTAATTTGTCTTGTGAACAAAGGAAAAAACATTTTGTAAAATCTGTGGTTCACAGGACCTTTTTCGTAATAAATTACACGCAATATCTTTAGGACCTACTAGTATCGTGTCTATTGTGTCTTTCATACTATGTAATATGTATGCAAGATATTTGTGTGCGTAAATGACTTGCAGTGACAGGTGCGGTGCGTGATGCCGGTGTTTGTACATACAGGAATGCTGCATGCACGCTGTACGATTACTTTTTGATCGAGCTTGTGCTTTTATTTTGATTAAAAGTTTGAACGAAGGTGTTTTACCACAGAATATTCATAAAACAATAATTTAAATTTAAATAACTATGCATCATGAGCCACTCGTGTTTTCTTAAGAACCGCTTTAAAATTCGTGTTGCTCTTTACTCGAATATCGCCACCCTGAATCGCATTTGATTCCACATTTGGCATCCATTGTGCGAGCGCGAGCATACAGCCAGTAGTTAGCTAGCCTAGCCTCGTGGTTGCTGCTTTCCCCAAGGTCCGCAATTAAGGCAGACTTTTTTCCGTCGGCAAAATATCCAAAGTCGGGGTGCGCCTTATATAGTCAGGTACAGGATATTTGAGTCCTCAAAGGCTACTTTTTAGTGGTTTTCAAAAATCTCTGTGTCTCAACATGAATTACATAATGCAAATAAAGAATAGGATCTACTATTTAAAGTTAAACTACGTTCCTAATTTGAAAGGAAGAGAGTTTTTTTTCAGTTTTTTTTTTCAGTCTCGATAAATTATGCCCTGTCACAAAGCACTTTGCCAGCCGAAGCTCTCCCGTGTCTTCAGCTCACTCACCTGTATGATGCAGCTCACTTACACAGGGGATAACAAATCACCACACAAAAACTACCCTGTCCACATTTTTGTTTGGACTCGGAGGAAAATTCTGTCATCTTTAGTTTTAAAAACAACATTGGTACTGATGGGTCTAACTTAGTTCACAAGCACTTCAACTGTGCCTCGTAATATAATGAAAGTATTTTCGAACACTGTCACTGAAATAAGAGCCGATCTGATGTTAACAAAAAGACCAATGTTGGCTTTTTTTGGTGGCTTTTTGTTAACCAGATCAGATCGCGTCTTATTTCAGTGTTCGAAAAATAATTTCACTTTTCATTATACGAGGCACAGTTGAAGTGCTTGTGAACTAAGTTAGACCTAGGTTTAGTAACAATGTTGTTTTTAAACTAAAGATGACAGATTTTTTTTTTTCCAGATTGATTTTTTTTTTTTTTTTTTTTTTTTTTTTTTGGGGGGGGGGGGAGATCTTCGAAATAGGGGTGCGCCTTATAGTTTTGTGATTTGCTTCCTAGTATTGCGATGATGAATAGTTGTACGCTCATCATTGAAAATGGTCATGGAAATTTACATTATCCTGCTCTAGAAAGTCATGGAAAGTCATGGAATTTTTAAAATGTGTAAGTGTATGAACCCTGGATTAGACTCCCTGCATGGTCACTGACAGGTGGTTATCTCATTAAATCAGCTCTCAATTAACATAAGAAAAAGGGGACCATGGGGGACCAACAGTCACCCCTTAGGCATTTTTTTTTTTATATAGAGGGTGCAAGTAGCTATAAGTAGTACAGTGGGGCTTTAACATATACGTAGGATGTTTTAAGAAATAAATTTTCTTGAGAATTGCAAAGAAATATTTCAAATCATTATTTTAAGGTGATTTTCATCGTCTCCTCCTTTGGGACCCTGATATGTCCCAGAATGGAATCAAAATCAAGGTTCCATGGTAGTTACCATTGATGGCAAAGTTACCATCAATGGTAAATTTTGTGCAATGAGGCCATGATGGTCAGTAACAATTGGGACAAAATAGTTTGGACTTGCTTAATCTTTATGATTAGCCACTGTAGAATGTTAAACTGTTCATCATTGTTTGCTGTGGCAATAAGATCACAACCTGATTTTCTGTTTAATATCTCTACAGTGTGGAGCAGACTCCTTAGGGTGTGACAGACTAGGTTGCTTCAGTCTTAGTATCAAAGGTCACGGTGAATGTGTAGAGTACGTCAAACAATTCAATGTACCCCTCCTCGTGATGGGTGGGGGCGGTTACACAGTCAGGAATGTAGCCAGGTGTTGGTAAGTATCTCTGCTTTCCATCTGTCTTAAAAGGTGTTTCAATCAAATTATAGATGTATTATATTGCTGTTTAATGGCTGGAATACATTTATGGTTCTTTTAAAGGTAAAGACCAGTATTGGAAACGCCCCAATTTCAAAAAATGAAATGGAAGCTCTTATTACCAATCATGTGAAAGAATATGTTTTGGCTAATACATGATGATAAAAAATTTGCCGGGAAACCGCCTACTAATTCATATCTACATGGTCTGTGAGAGATAAACACATGTGTCGCGCACGTGTGCGTATAGTCCCATCTACATCTTTCTGTGTACATTGCTTGTAACTTTACGAAGACTGGGCCATATTTCTTATCATTTGATGATTCCAGAACCTTGCAGTACACACCAATACTTATATGCTAGATGATCAACCTTTTCTGATCGATTCCACAACGTTTCTTTCAAAATGCAATTGCATGACCAGAACTGGTCTATACAAATATAGTGTATTTCCTAAATCAAAACAACAGAAAAGAAATTAATGCTGTGTTCATGTAGTAATCCATCTAATTACCCCATTTAATTTGATGACAATTGCTTGGGATACATGTACCTGTGCTACCATTAACAATGAGATTTCAGTTTCTTTGGTCGATAAGCTGGGCTGGAGTGTTAAGTTCTCTTTTTATTTTCATTTTCTGCAGGACATATGAAACATCGTTATTACTCAATGATGAGATCAGTAATGAGCTTCCTTACAATGGTAAGTAGGTTCAGTTATATATGAGCGATGTATTTTCACATATGTCGGTCTCTCCTGGGGTAGCACCTTGCCTAGCAGTCTCTCTTGAACCCTCGTCAATCATTCACGCCAAAATCACACTGTTGGTTTCTCACAAAACTACATTGTGCAATGTGGATCACTTATTCAGTCAATCTCTTAAATTGATAAGTATTGGACAGGAATTCACAAATTGACACTTACAATAAATTTGAAAGTGACAGAAAAACTTTATTGACACTGTTCTGAAAGCACAACCGTCTCTCATAGCGGCTAGGCATGGATTGCTGTACAAAACGCGTTGAAATACCATTGCAGTAAAATGCATCACGCTCTACAGTTTCAGGACTAAACTAAAAACTCAATTTCGCTACAGTATTCTTGCAGTATCAGTGTCAGATCTGGCAATAGATCAAGCATATGACTCATCAAAAGAAACCAGAATCCATAGAATTGCATATCAAATGAGTTTTATTATGATTTTCTGTTCTAATGGTACATTTTTGTATTACAAGAAGAAAGAAAAACTGTAAAACATAATTGTTTAGTAAGATGTAAATGTTTGTTTTGTTTTAATAGCAATTAACATGTTTCCATTCTGTGTAGTGTATTTTATGGTAATTGAACAACCCTATTTCTGCCATTCACACTCCTGTTAATTGGCGTGGTGAAAATTTCTAATTTGCGAAATATTTCTTGTAACCATACTGAACAGAACATATTTCCTGTCTAGAAGTGGGGATAAAATCAATCAAAATACTTGAAATAATGTTAAAAAGGTAAATACAATCTTAAATTCATAGTCTGTTCTTTACTGTATTTTCAGATTACTTTGAGTACTTTGCACCAGATTTCACATTGCATCCAGACACCACAACAAGAATCGAGAACCTCAACACAAAAGCAGTAAGTTTATTTCACTCTTCTCAAATCTAAGGAATTTGTCTTTTTTTTAGGAATAAGCTCTCTTTTTGCATGTTGACTGAATAATTACATTGTAAATAGAGGGATTAGGGAGAAGAGTTGAATCAGTTAGTAAAGTGTCTGCCTGTCAAACTGAAGAGCCTGGGTTTGAATCCAAGTCAGGTGGACGACTGTGTTTCTCTACCGTCTTCCTTGATACAATGAAGCCACCTCTTTCTAGGTCTTCCTTTCTTTCTCCTTTCTTTCTCCTTTCTCTCTGCTGCCTAATGTATGTATAATCAGTTCATCTTTCCTCGTCTCTATTCCATACCATCTCACGCTGCTCTCTCTCTAATCTTCTTCCTTATCCCTGTCACTATAATTGATTTCTCTGACATTCCTCCATTGCAGTACATTGACCAGGTGAGGCAGGGAGTGCATGACAACCTGAAGTGTATAGCCCACGCACCCAGTGTACAGATGCATGATGTTCCACCAGATCTCCTGAGTCTAGAGAATATAGAGGAACCTGACCCAGATGTGAGGAACAGTACCAAGGATCAAGATGAAAGGTAAGACCATAGCGAGGGGTCAGTGACACAAAGACGTAACTCCATTTTGGCCATTTTGAGAAAAAGAGGTTTATGTGTCACTGAGCACTTGGGCCTTAAGGAGTTAAGTCTATGTTTCACTAGCCATTGAGTTCAATAGGGTGTTGGGTGTAGTTAAGTCTTTGTGTTTCCTGGAAAGCCCACATTTTTCTGAACATTTTTATATCAAATACTGATTTTGTCAAAATATGGAGTTACATTTTTGTGTCACTTAACCCTATTAAACACAAATCCACTCAGGCCAGTTGATCATATTTTGTGGTATACATGATGCTCAAGAAGAAAAAGTAAAATTTTGCACAACTGTTGCTTTCCTTTAGGGCTCGTTTTGATAGGAATCTGGAAAAATTAAGCATTAAAACGTTAAATTTCCAACAGGTTGGAAAGTAAAGAATTGCCATTTTTATAATAAAAATCAGCAATTTCAAAAAATATTTCTGCACGGTTCTATCCATATACCTTATGTTCTTTTCAGATGAATGACTTCCAATCGTATCAAAAGAAAATAATATGAGGTAGAAAAGCTAATTAGTTTAGCCTTTATAATGTTCTCTCATGAATTTGTCTTGACATAATAGATGAAGAAGTAGTACATATGCAAGAGGTGTTGGATTAATGGCATCAGATTCTATGTCTTCTGTCAGTCTGTGACAATTTGTACTTTCACAAGCAGCGGTAAATTAAAGGAATATCAATAGTAATAAACATTGCATGCATTAAAGCCCCTCTACACTAGTTTGGCCTGGAGGGATTAGACCTCCCTGCAGGGTCACTGACAGGTGGTTATCTCATCAAATCAGCTCTCAATTACCATAAAAAAAGGGCATCATGGGGGATCAACGGGTACCGCTTAGGCATTGTTGGCTGTATAGAGGGCGCAAGTAGCTATAAGTAGTGCAGTGAGGCTTCAATCTTTTCAATTCAATTATTGCTTAGTTTTTTTAACTTAAATATTTTCATTTTGTCTTGTGTTTTTTTCAGGATTGAACCAGCGAACGAGTTCTATGACGGAGACAAGGACCAGGATAAGGAGGATGGTGTAGTACTAGATGTATAACAAACGTTGCATTCACTAATGTTTAATGTGAATGCAGTCCTATTCAATCAATGAGGAGGGGAGTTCACATTTGTATTCAAATGTCATACGCATATTTCTTGGTCATGTGTTTATTCTTTGTTACCCTGTGGTGCTTGTCAGAGGTCTTGCCTGACATAGCTGAAACATATGTTGCCCATGATTGCCTACAAGAAGGAGCTTTCTTGTTTCAGTCAAAGTGAAATGCTAAATGTGTTTAATGCAATTTTGTCTGCAGTGAAATTAACCTCAAAACAGTAAAACATCAGAAATTTGGATGTATGGAGATATATTTTGATTATATCATTTTTTCTTGGTCACATAAAATATCTATATTGGAATGTAGACTACTACTCTCACTTTCCGAATGTAATGTGCATCTCTCATATTGGTAGTTTACCATTTACTTCCACATTGATCACATCCTTTTTGAGAGAACGTAGATTAATTTAGTATCGTACGATTCCACTGAGCTTATTGTCACAATGTTGACCAAGAAGTATGCATGTTTTGATTGTTCATGTCAACTCCCCTTTCTATCTGTACAGTATGTATAAATATTCAGTCACAGTCAATGCATCGTTTCCATTCAGAAGATATTTGTTTTGCCTAAATATGCCATGAAAGCGGAAGCATTATTCAGAAAGCACTATATGATGTATAAATGCACTTGTAATGCTGCAGCAGCCCCCCCCCCCCCTCCAAAGTCATATGTTCCTTTGTTTTACCCCCCCCCCCCCTATTTTCCTCTCATTTACCCCCTTATTTACCTCTTTTGCCTGATTTCAGTTTGTGTAGTTAGCTAAATCATTATAAAATTCCCATCAATACTTTCAAAATTCACACTCCTGACTAAGGGTTATTGTAAGTGTCATACATACAATTATTCATGGACCATATATATGAACCTTCTGACATAGCATACCAAATATATCATCAGACGATAGGGTGCTCTTATGTAACCATACCAGTTTGACACCCTTATTTGTACTGTATAAGCCAATCTTTTTATGTACAAATATTTTGTGTATGACAAAGACACAGACATTTATGCGAGTTGTTTCTGTTATAATTAACACTGGCAACTTATAATACATGCTCACACATGCTTTTGCAGCTTATTTGTGTGTGTGTTGTTAAATTCTTGATCGTTCATCGATTCAGGAAGTTAATGAAAAGGTAATTTAAACCATTACAATATTTTTGGCTGATACAATATATAGTATATGGTATAGTATACCTGATCCTACATCAATTCAGGAAATTAGTGTAAGTGTAATAAAACCCCACAAAAACATTGGCTGATACAATGTATCAGGATATTGGTATAACATATTGATGGACCTTACCGTTTACCATAGTGAGAAAGGGGGATTCTTGTGATGCATTTTTCCCAATAATATATCCTATTAGTTAGATGAACCTTATGCCATTAACTGTTGTATGCTACACAGATAAACAGTACTATTAAGCATGAGCAGATAATCTACAGAACTGTGTTCTGCAAATACTTACATGCCACAGCTTTTCTGATCATGGGCAGTATTAAGTATGATGCACAGACCAGGGACCATTTCACAAATCCCTTTTTCAATGACAAATGACAAAAAATTAGTGACAAATCTGCTGATAACCAATCGAAAGCAAGGATTTCAGTAGCTTATAACAAAGCCTATCATTTGTCACTGATGACAAGTTTTGTGAAACTGGCCCCTGGGCGTCATTTGACCAGAATACATTTTCTGCATTCTTAAACCATTATAACAGAATATAAATATTCCTGTAAAGTGAATCACATGCCAGCAAGCAAGGCGATTGCGTCTACTTTTGATGAGCAGCTGTATAGTTTCCTTAAGTCTAGTAAGCTTTGTATTTGAGTAAGACAGTAAGACACCAAATAGTATTGTTTTTTACTTGCAATTTTGATGTACATGTAGAACATGTGATAGTTAGAGACAACACCTCTGTAATATTTGTGGAGTATTTTTTTTGGAATAAACTGTGAAACGATTCATTACTAGTAAGTAGGAAATTCATGCTTCTAGGCTATTTTTGTATTTATAAACTCATTTCAAGGCTGTACATTTTATGCATATGAAAGTAGAGTCATAGAGATTATGTCCAGTTTTTCTTGATAGCTTTGTCCTACCATTCAATACACTGCCAATATTAATAGAGAACTAGGCTTTCTTAGGAGTATTGATATTTGGAGCCGTTATGCTGCTTTTGAATCTAAAAATAGGCTGGCAAGTCTTTGGCAAATTACTGAATTTAAGTACAATTACAGAGCAGCTCTCTCAGATAACGCCTACCGGTATACTGCCCGAGTGCTATCAATTAACCAGGACCTGTACATAGAGGCGAGGCATCTTAAGCTGCTTCCAGAAGTCAACCTTAAGTAACCTTAAGTATGTCTGGAGCCATCTTAAGGTTGAAAGCAAGTGATTTAGGCGTGAGTTAAGTTGCCCTACTTTTCAAAAGTGTGGTAGACCTTTCTTGAACGTTGAACATGTACAAATAGCTTGCCAGACCAGTATGTTATGATATTGATGCAAATAATATAAGCTTGTGTAATATTCAGGTAGCCATATGACAAGCACACATGTACTGATTGTAGACTGTATAGTCACTGTTAATGTCTTACATTTATGGTTTGTGACATGTTTATCCTGCATCAACACAATAATTTCAATTTTATTTGTATGAAGGGTTTTGCACCAAACAGAAAAATCAGTATATCTTACGCTTTAAGCAAAAATCCACATTTCATGCTTGCTATGCCTACAATTTACAAGAAATGGAATGGAATGGAATGTTCTTATAACTGTAGCAATTTTTTTTAACAACAGCAAGAACTTATGACAGCTATATGTATTTTTATAGCTTTTGCACTATTACTACTGTTGAAGTGGATGATGCAGTTTGATATTCAGAGAAAACATCAAGATTCTTGTTGAAGGAATCAGGGATTTATAGAAGAAAAAAAACACATGAGTGGTTGTGAATTGTGAAGATATTATTAAACAATGTGGGGTGATTACGAAAGTGGTTAGACTAAACCAATAAGTTTGAGTAAAAAAGACTGCCGTTTGGTGTATTCTATATAAATATACCATTTACTTTTGGGTTTGTTTTCTACATCTCCTGGCAAGTATACAAAGCAGTCAAAGTGGCCATGATTATCTATTCACTGTATTTTGTTCCTCTCTCTTTTTTTGTATTGCTTGTATTGCTAATATTGATGGCAAAGATACCATCAGTGGTAAGTTTTATGCAACGGGACTCTGGTTATTGGTATTCAGAATTATTTTTTTTTACAAACAATTCACATTGACAAATAAATAATATTAACCATCTCATAGAGGATCCAATATATATTGTTTTAATGAGATTCATTTCTTCTCCAAAATAAAATTAATAGGGGAATTTAATATTATTGTAATTTATTTACTTTTCATGTAAATTTCTGAAAATGCAAATAGAGTTGTAGGATTGTGGCTTTTTTGTATGAAAAGTGTACATAGTGGTGGAACCTGAACTTGTATATTGTAATTTTTTCAAACCTTCCATGTAAATATGAATAGTATAGAATTTCTGAATATTTTTGTGTGCTGTACATGTTTTGTTACTAATGTGTACATTGTTTATTGAAATAAGTCGAAGTGTAATGTTGTTGGAAAGGCAATACGAATGTTGATGTAAATAAAACATAAAGCACACGGAAAAGCATTTGATGTTTTAATGATACTTTTATTCTAGTATTGTGCAATTTTTAACAATACATTAGATAATGAAAAAAAAAAATTGGTTTTACAGTTGTGGTGAATTACATTGGGCCTTGACAGCAGCACTCCATTCAGGGCTTGTGCTACGGCGGGGCTCAGGGGCCTCAAGCTTAATTCAGCAAAAAAGCGTCAAAAAGCTTTGGCAGTTTGTGGATTCATAAAATCAGTTCCGTAAAAGCCTTATTTTTTCCCGTGGTGGATTCAGGGGGCAAAAAGGGAGAAAAGGAGACTAAGGAGGGGGAAAAGAAAGAAAAGGGAAGAGAAAAAGAAGAAGAAAAGAGGGAAGAAAAAAAAGGGGAGAGGAGAAAAAGGAGGAGGAAAAGAAAGGGAGGGAAGAGGAGGGAAAGGGAGAAAGACGGAGGAGAGAAAAGGGGGAAAATGAGAATAATGAGAAGGGAAAAGAAAGAAAGGGGGGTGATATTATAAAAAGGTGTTTTTTACCGGGAAAGGGGCGGGGGTGTGCAATTTTGCAGTGTGCATAATATGGGGAGCCTCTTGCCAGGCGTGTAGCTCCCCCCCCCCCCACCCCCCCCCCAAAAAAAAGGACAAGAAGAACAAAAAAAAAGAGATGGAAAAAGGGGGGAAAGAGAGAATTTAAGAGAGTTAAAGGAGAAAGGAAGAAGAAAAAAAAGGAAAAAGAGAATTATAAACAACGATAGCAGAAGGGTGCGAGAGCATGAGGAGTTGCATTTCCTTATACAGAATATTGGGATAACTTACCAGGGGCGTCGCTAGAGGTGGGGTGTGAAGGGTGCGACACCCTCACGCCCACCCCACCTGTCAGGATATTGTCAGTGAAATTGCGTCGGGAAAATGAGAAAAGGTGGAGGGGAAAATGAAAGGGAAAGGGAAAGAAAAGGAAAAGAAAGGAAAGAAAGGTAAGAGAAAAGAAGAAAGAAAGAAAAAAGAGAAAGAGAAATGAGAGGAAAGAAATGAAAAGAAAGAAAAAGAAAAAAAGACGAGAAAAGGGAAACAAAAGAAAAGGGGATGGAATAGAGGAGAGGAGAGAGAGGGGGTAAGAGCCTGAGAGAAGAGGGGTGAGAGTAAGAGAGAGAGGGGATGTTGGGTGGAGTCACCACGCCGAGGAGGCAAGAAAGATACGTATAGATAATTATGTTGCTGTGTCGGTATTCTTGCTCGGTCCTCTATATCAATGCAGAAGTTTGAAGTCGGTGAGATGTATTATTACGGTCGGCCAGCAAATTTTGTTTTCCCCTACGAACTGTGACTTTTTATCGGACAAAGAAACATAGTCGCCTCTTTTGAATCTAAGAGGTTTTCTTTATATTTTGACATGTGATTCTTTTTCTTTGTATGCCCTCTTTTTATTCTTATAAGTCATTCTTTTCAAATTTGAGAGGTGACCCTTATCCTTTCTAATTAGTGGCATTTTCCTCTGTAATAAGTGCCCCTTTTGTGTTTTCATAATTGTCTTGTTTCGTCTCTGGTGAGTGCCCTTTATTAAGTGCGAGGAGTGCCCCCTTTTCACCTCCGGTATTTCCCCCTTTTTTTCCTTCTTTTCCCTTTGAAAATGTGCCCCCTTTTCATTTCCCCACAAAATGTGCTTACATCACTATTTCAAGCGATTTAGAGCAACTTTTTCCTTAATTTTACCCAAAGCTGGCTTGCTGCGCTCGTTCGCATTTAAAGTTGATATAATTGTGATTCTTATTAAAGATCTTTTCAGTCTTTCATGGTAAGGTTGTGCTTAAAACACAATCAGGATTGTTTTTCGTCTTTATAAGATGTAGTTGTTGTTTTTTTTGCACTGCGACCTCACAAAATCTCAATCAGACCATCACACCGACCTGCAAAGTAAATGTATGGACCATTTAAAGAGAGAAACTAACATCAAAATCATCCCTTATAATGTAATCACAATGTAGGGGTATATACCAATGTATATTGTAGGTGCCCCTTTTTCCCATAAAGTGCCCTTTTTTGTTGGTACCCTGCCCCCCCCCCCCGACTTTGAATGACGCTCCACGCCCCTGGCCTGCTACAAAAATGGACCCTGTGCCAATTTACGCTCCGCTCGCTACGCTCTTCCTGATCGTAAATATCTATGGATTAGGATGTGCATGCATGCGTAAATCTGTACTTTCTCCCTGCCTCACACCTACACACACGCTCACACCCAATGTCTGAATGTCACGTCCGTTCCGCTGGAATCGACCAAACGTAGAATCAATAAATTGTGACTCAACGCATACTTTCAATGGACCAGGTAGGCAAAATGTAAACATTTTATTTGAAATTTAAAAACCAAATGCGACATTCTAATTCATCAATACCTCTACAATTTTCACCTACAACCTAAAACTGATCAGTCACACACGTTTACGTTCTTTGATCTAGATAATGTTTTGTTTTTTCACTTTGCCATGACGAACCCAAATCATTCCATCAAGGCGTATTTTTGAGAAATTCGAATATTCGTTTGTCAAAGCAAAAACATTTACATAAATTATCCGAAGCTATTGCTGGTTTAATGTAGGATTTTGTTGAGCCATTGACAGCAAACGTTACGGCTGAACACTAATTGAAAACAAACGAAACTCTCTCGCCTTTCATCCAGTGAAAATTGAAAACATCGATCGCACTTGGCCGCTGTATTCAATTTCAATAGGCCATTTTCGTACTGTAACCAAATTTGATACAAACGTCTTTATGAGGTGCTTTGATACGAATAATTTCATTCACCAGTTACAAATAATTCTATTTCAATAGTCGGTATTCAAATTGCATATAGTCCATGTTGTTAGGTAGGGCAAGCCATTTTGTTTGTCCTACCTAGCAACAACTAATGTATGCAATTCGCATTATGACTATTGAAATACAATTATTCGTAACAGGTGTATGACATAATTGTAACGAGACACTTAACAAAGATTTATGCCAGTTGTATATTTCCTCTCCAAATAGGATGTAGTTATGACGTAACAATGTACAATGGAAAGTATATCGTGGAGATTCGTCGACATAAACATCTCTGTGAAGTGTTACATAAATTATGAACTGCACGCGATTTCAAAAGGCGAAAAATTATTTAATTATACATGAATCACTATATTCAAAGACTAATTTACTTAACCAAAGTGTGAACAGTCAGAATATACACATATAATTGTGAATTAAGAAGTCTAAAATGCATAAACATCAATTAGCATATAATAAGCTATTAAAACTATTATTTACATCGTTTATCCATCAGTCATGATTCTCATAATATAATGAATAAGTACAGGAGTATTAAAACTTTTATTTCATCAGGAAAAAGTAAGTAAAAGATATTAGCTAGAAGACCTGAGAGCATAAATGTTTATATTTTAAATTCAAACTCAATAACATATTCAAACTCTGACTCCAATGCATATATAGCCTTTAAATATTACACATACTTAATATTTTTGTTCGTGATTTTACCTGACAAAAAGGTGAAGATGACGTTTCTAAATTGAAAGTTTAATTGAAGCTATATATTTGAAAAGAATGATCCGTTTTCAGGAAATTGATGACGACCAACAGTGGCGTAGCGTCGAGGATAGGAAACGTTTTCTCATATAAACTGGGTGTTATTTTTTTCGTTCAAGATGGGGCAAATGCCCCCGTTTTTCCTCTGTGCTATACGTCTCAAACTAGCAATAATCTACCAATTCTACATTTCCACAATACCCAATGTGAATATATCAAAAACATATTTTATTAAGCAACTAGCTTTATAAGCATACTTTCATTCTAACATTCATAATGATACAAGCAACAGAAAATTTGAATGTGCTCTCAGTTCGGGAGAGAGAAAGAAGTTCACTGGCCTGCGTTTATACAAAGCTTTTAATGATTATGTCGTAACACATTTTCTCTCTCTCCCGTACAAAACTATTTACAAAATTCTGACGTCGCTGCAAAATGTGGCAATTGGCCACACACTTTCATTGTACCAGTGAAAGTGAATGGCACTTCTCTGACCTGATATCACCGAATTGGCTGAATGTACTTCACGCTTCATAGTCTAGTCGTAACGTATACATAACATCAACCAATCAGAATCATGCGTTCACGTATGATGTTTTATCCCTGCAATCTCATTGGTCTTAAATCGTACTTTGCATTCAATAATATATTTTGGTACCAGATCCATGTCGGTGATGCCGAGAATGTAAAGCAAGAAGGCATTGATTCTATAGGCACAAACAAATCAATTTCTGGGACATGGCGTATGGTGTTTAGCAATGATTACACGAGAAATGTGCAATATATGCCTGAAATCAAAGCACCATATTATATACATCATAGCAATACAATGATTCCAACATAGACACGAGTAATGTATAATTTGCTTCTTGTATTTTGTTCTTGTACAGAACGTGCAAATTGACACAACTGGCTATAAAAATCTACCACCCTTATAATGTGACCGTGTATCAATGGAAAGATAATCCTTTGAGAATATGTAATTTCTAAAAGTATAGTGAGCCTCTTTGGAATACATCACAAGGATTTTTTTTATAGTCATATCGTGACATCTGCCATACAATAAAAACGTAAGTTTAGTACTAAAAATTGTATGTACAGTAACAACAAACAACCACTCTAAAATCGTATTGGCAATGTAATGTTTATAACACTAAGATGTATCACTAATGACTCGCAGCCTTAAGTTCCAAACAATGTTTTGAGCGTTCCATAAATTATTATCTAACTAGCAGACAACATTATACATAATGCCCTTTCGAACACACTGTATATGTATTACATACTATCAGCTTAGTTACATTAAAATTTGATATCTGAAGCTGAAAAAGCACTCATTCGGGAACAAACGCTAACAAAAGAAGGATGTTCCACGATCTTTACGAAAACTGGGAAAATCAAAGGTGTTTCTCAGGCTATATGAAGGAATTATGAAATTCAAAAGTACATACCGAAGTCTGTATTTTATTAATTATTTTGTGTATATTGACTAGGGGCATCGCCAGACTATTTTAAATGGGAAGGGTTTCGAAGAGGTAGCTGAAATTTACCAACGAGCAATCAAGCAAAGGAATCATCAACATCTCTTTGAGATTTCCCAACAGCCTTAGAAAATGGCGAACCGACGAATGTCGAATAAGGTGCCACTCCCTTTGGCCACGCCCCCCGCTAGGAATAAGGCCATCAACCTATTAAAATCATCGGGTAAACTAAACGAGATATTTATATTTATTGGGGTAACATCTAGAACTTGCCCACCTCAAAGCTTTGAGAATATCCCATGTCACCAAGGCAACTTCTCTTGTTCTCTGTATTGAATGAACAACAGAAAGACGTCGACTTTGTACAAAGTAGATAGACCTAACGTCTATCCGTCTGCTATAATTATTATTGATCTTATTGCTACAGATGATACCGTTTGATTAATGTTATTGTATAGATGCTTGCAGGCAGGATTACAATTATTGTCTGTAGGTTGTATCTGCTGTGACTGTGACGTATGAATTTCTGTGAAAATGTAGAGAAAAGGAAAAAGGAGGATACTTTAATAAATCATCTTGATGGTAATGGGGTCACTTTGTTAGTGGGGAACAAATATTCATGAATATGTTCATTCCGAAATATGGTTTTAGACGGTAACAGCTCACTTTCCCTAAGGTTTTTTAAATCTTAAAAATTGTAAATTATAATTCCAAATATAGAACAGTGGATGTGATTTCAGAAATGAGCAGGATTCGTAATGTCAAAAAATAAATTGTAAAAGAAATAGGATGATCTAAGAACATATTGCTCTTTTGGAATTATGAATCCTCCGGAAAATAAATCTTATCGCTACACTGTTAGTTTTACATTGCATATAGGTAGGCTTACCTAAGAAACAGTTTAGACTTTGACTCATACCGAATTTTATGTTCTTAATTACACTTTTATTGAGGTGCGCAATCTTTAATCAATACGGTACTTTTCGAACATTATGCATTGTTATATGCGCATGACAATGTGATTACCTATATCAAGTGGTTCCAAAATAAATTTTGAAAGAAATTAAGGTCCAATAAAGCACTTTGAAAGTGGCAAAACTAGTTGAAATGCATCCTAATATCGGGATTATTTCGAGGGTTCGGACTCTTCAATAAGCGCCATAACATGTATACGTGAGCCTAACTGGATATTCCTACATCGAATACTCACCCCTTGTACTTCCAGTAACACAGTCCTATAAAGGTGCATATTACTGCCACAACAAGAATAGTTGCAAGGATGGCTAGAGCTATATCACCTCTCCTCAGTCCACCTGAAGCAGAAAGACAAGAAATATAAAAACATTACACAAAAAGGAAAAGATCAATATTTGCACTGTACATACATAAAGTCAGTCCGTCACAAGCAGAAAGACGGGCACACTGAGACAGAGTACATAGGACACTGAATGCACGGTTATTTGCACTTAAAATTGGTTTGTGCAGATATACAATGATCTATCATATACCGAGAGCCTTATGATCGGATATTTATTACAGAAAATGCTGGTATTAAGCCCAGGAAGGTTACAAGTCAATCTGGCTGACAATACACACTTATTTTAAAAATGCAATAGCGACTATATTATGGAGCTATTTGAAATCATAAAAATGTTGGACAAACGCTATGCTTTAACAAAAAAATTAGAACATGCTATAACGGTCAAAGCTTGTAGTCTTATATGACACCACGACTTCACACAAGTCATTATCGTATTAGTTCAACTCTGTATAGCTACGACAGCTTAAAAACGACTTTAACTGTACACGCACATAAAATGGGGATAATGTTTGCTTAACCTCTTACATGAAGTGATTGTGACGATATGGTCTATCCTCGACAGATAAAGTTGATTAATTAACAGTACTTCACCGATTGGTCTTATAGAGTCATAGAGATTGATCAATAAAGTGCTACTGCTATGCATATATTAATGTCTCTATCAAGAATAAAGTGAGAGGAGTTTGATCGATTAAGTTCTGACAAGATATAAACTTTATCTCTCAAGATGCATAACGTCACAATCCTTACACGAAAAGGCTAGGAGTTAGAATGAAAACAATCAAACTTTATGGGCAACAACTTGTATTTAAGACTTTCACATATTAGTAACAGTTCCTAAAGATCTATGTTTCATTACAAACCTCCGCCTTCCTCGTCGTCATCATGTCCTTTTTGACCATCGCCATCGCCTTTCATACCATCGTCATCGCCGTCCTTAGCGCTAGTCATCGGTGCGTCAGTCACGACTGGGGTCGGTGCGTCAGTGCCATTAGCGGATGGGGCTGGTGTGCCATTATCGACAGGGGGAGGGGTTGTTGCTACCGCTGGGCGGGGGGTTGTTATGGGCTCCGTGGCAAGGACGGTGGGAGGTGAAGCTGAAGGAGGTGAAGCTGAAGGAGGAAATAATGGCAGTTCTATTATTACAGTGATTACTAAACATGTGGACGATACATTATTATCGAAGTTACACATTAAATCAAAGGTAAACATTAAGGCAAAGTTATGGATATTGGGAAATTTTGCTATCTAGGTTTTTGGTCAAATTATATTAATGCTCCTAAAGCTTAAAACGGACGGGAATTAATTTCGGGGACAGGAATTAATTTCGGGAGAAGGGGCACAGAAGAAAGGTTCAGGGACTGTTCTAGACACAATTCTAAAAAGTAGACAAAATCTGAACAAAATAAGAGCTTATTTTTCTTCCTTGCCAGACATTATGTCAGAAATAAACCCCATTCCAAGGTATTCCTTACCATTTAATGTATCAACATGAAAAGCAATAATCTGTCAATTCTACAATTTATTCTTTCGTGAAAATGTGATGTGAAGCATACAAACTGAAACACAATATCGTGTATCGGTACCGTTGGATGATATTAAAAAGATGCCTTTTCTTGGATATACAGGCCTTCTACATCAGCTACATTTTATTTGGTCGAGTTCTACGTGTATTCAAACATCTGAAAATGAAGGTAATCTACCTCATTCACCTTTGACCTCTGTATGTACTAAGCTTTTATAAGCGTGGATTCACTACTTAAACATCAGAAACATGCATTGCATTCGTAGAAATGTATATTGGTCTCCATCAAAACAAATAGTTACATTCACCATAGAGTTTTGCGAACAGTAGAAATATTTGAATCAATTTGCAAAAAGTCAACAATAGTAAGTTAAACTTCTGCATGTCAATCATTTTTGTAGACTATTTTCCCATGATGACGGTAAGGAATCACTCAATCTCGACATGGAGACTTGTTACGTTATTTTATTTCACCTGTCATGAAGTTCAGTGACAGGGCATGCCCGGGCACATGAGGTTAAATTACGACATGTTCCTTGATTAATCGCTCGTCTGAAGCTACCTCAAAGAAAATATCACTGTTTTTCTCCATACCCTTCATAGCGGTATCACGCTTGACCTCATTTTCGTTTTGTTTGTGCATAACCATAACGCGAAGCACAATGGCCGTTGTAATGTAGATGAAAGGGTAAACAGGTTTCCTTTTCATAAACAAATACATTTTCCATATTCAAAGGCCAAATCTAGATATTATCTGTCGTGTACGCCCACCAATTCCTGATTCTGAAATATGCTAACAGTGCAGTTATCTAAACGTGTAGAGACATGGCAATATAAAATGTTTATATCTGTTGCAATTTTTGTGCAACATCAGCATGCGATGGAACTGAAACTGCAAGATTTCACTCGCTATGATAAGGCGGAATTAAGAGAAATAGACTTGGCAACGAACCTAAACAAGGAAAAATGTAACAAATTACATTTTACCATGTAGGCCAACTCCCCCTACCCCCTCTCTCTTTCTAAGTCAAGTTGTTTGCACATATGACAAATATTTCCTTCTAAATTCTCTATTTTTTCATCCTATTATCAAATTGTGACATTTGCAATAACATGAAATCTTTATGGTGTTCATGGTAACCTCGTTTTATTTCGTTATACTCTATATTATGCCTACAATAATTGTATAAATTCATTTTTCCAGCAAAAATGCACTTACATGGACTTTGTGAGTATACGACTGCTGCTGAGCAGACGAATACTGCTAGCACTAGCGTGACCAATTGTGACGTCATCTTCATTGAAGCGATTGGACTGCTACCAGATGCTATAGTGGAAAGAGAAAAGAGAGATATAATGATATTATCATTATGATAATCATGTACACCAAGGTTATACCAGTGCTGCAATCATGTTAATTAGTTATTGCTTCTATGTGTAGTCGCATGATATCGTGCATATCACTTTTTTTTACTCATTTCATGAATGTATCGGATTTGTTGTTCTCTATCCAGAAAAAACACAAAAAATAGCAATTAACCAAACCCCTGTTGTCGTTTTTAAAGAGAAGGATGTTATATCAACGAAAAAATAATTTGTGTAAATATTAATAATTGATTACATACATGATTAAAATGACTACAATTGTTTTTCTTTCTTTGCAATTTCATTTCTTTCAGACATCCATTCTTTTCTGCCCTTTGCATGTTTTCTTTCTTTTACCAACCCCTCCCACTTCTCTCTCTCCCTCTGATCTGTGTCTATCTTTCTCAAGTGTTGACTGTTAAAAAATATGTTTTTCTTTTTTTTCATCCAGGAGTACCGACGCAGTATTGAAAAGAAATGTCAATTAGCTAATCCCTAACGTGCGTGGAAATACATGTACAGGTATTTGCGATATGAATTACTATCAAATTATAGTTGCTTAGATGGCACTGGTTTGTACACTTACGTTGACTAACGTGAACACTTAAACCGTCTTCTGCGTGAGTACAACCATTGAGGGGTCACTAGAACGACGGGGGAGGGGGGGGGGGGCAGGGGCAACGGTCCTATTTTGAAAATAAAGCTCAAATTTTCAAGGGTACTGATTATGGGGGATGCGTTCGTGAGGTGGTTTATGCGTCTCCCTGTATTGCCAATTTCGCCTTTATCTTTCCGTTTTTTTAATATTTCATCACTCGTTGGATTGTAGAGGGGGTTAGGGATGGGGGCACTGTAGCTACACCACTGTTTGTGGTGTAGATATCTCTTTTCCTCCGCTGAGATGTAAATTGCCCGTCTGATTGTAAGTTTGATTACGAGAGAGTCACTGAGATGTATCACTTGAACCACATTAAACATGTAAGACACGTTTTGGGATTAAATTGGTTCACACCGTTCCGTTTCGAGGCAGTTATGACCAAGGCTATTACAAGTAATTGGAACCCCTGTACGGCATCTTTAACCAACTTCTTTATCAAAATTATTAATTTGGGAACTTTTTGTAAATCTTTGGCCCGTCTCATATTAAAACTCTAAACCCAGAGATGGCTTTTAACTCGCTGAAGCCAAATTTAACAAAGAAAGTCGGACCGAGGTCCAAGTTTTCAACTTTTTGAACTTGACATAGACCGAAGGTCCTAAAACCTTGCCCTTGTTATTCTCATTAAAGGAACACAGTATCTTGTTGAAAATGACAGATTATAATCATACATTAAAAATAGGGTTATTTAAGTTTATATTTGACTACTGTGTAGATTTTTGTAGTTTTCCGTGTTTTTCTTTTGTGAAAAAAATTGGAGATCGCAAAGGCGATGTAGTGGCTAACAAAATAATGAACAATCTGTTGTGCAAAATCGGCAAGATTATCAACAGCATTTAAGACACCTTTAAACATTACAGGCGGGGACACTGGTATCATTTCTTGCAATACATGATATAAACATTTTCATTAATGTATTAGCAGGGCAGGAGGGAGTGGTGTTTGGGTGTGCCCTCTTAAGTTGGTCAAAATTAGTGATACTCCGATCGTTATAGAGATAACTGCTTTTTTATAAAATTAATTTCATTATATATTTCGAATCAAATCAAATCATGTACCACACCATGTTTGGTTTCATAGAAAAGTCTAATTCTTATCATCCTGATCATATTTGGAAACGTTAAATCATAGAAAAAAGCGTTTTCCCGCTGACATTGTACATGTATATTATATACACTAAGAAAATTAATGACTGTGTTACCCGTTCTCTTTAAAACTGCATCATTTCCGTATTATACCCTCGATCTAGGTATTTGATCTAGTATTTTCCACTCTTGATTACAGAATCGTTGCTGTTTGATAATAATTTTACAACGTCTAAAAGGGTAGTTTCAAACTAAGGGTAATGTTTCTGAGACTTTTTTATTTTAAGGTTTTTGCAAATCAAAAGCAGTATAATTATCATTAGTTCTATAACTTGAATAATTTCACATTCACAGTTTGCTGATGTAGACACATATTTTATATCATCAAATTAGTATGCAGTTTACATTGCATAACGTCTGTAACATTGCATAACGTCTGTAATATATTGGATCAATACGTATATGCGTGGACAGCACTTACTACAGAATATAGAATTGATTATGTGCAATGACAGTCTTGACACGGATTGAATGGAGAATAGAGAGCTCTTTCGATGTCCTTTGTCTACAAGCACAGACTAGTGATATCTCCACCAAAAAAAAAATCTGTCTTGCGCCGGTCATCTCCGGTCATTATGGTCATAGGAGGGTATGCTGCCCCTTTTTATATTAATTTATGGATACGCCACTTGTTTCGACTCTCTGTTATGCATGTACAATGGCTTGTGCGAGTAAAATATTCTGACTATTTTGCGGCATGGACAAGTGCTTTATTTCCCTCGGCAATCTCACGACCTGGGAGGGTTCTGCCCCTCATTTCCTAGATACGGCACTATAGTTTCGACCCTATGTTATGAGCCATGTGTGCCCTATTCTGAATATTTTGCGGGGGACAGGTACATTATGCCCCCTACGCGAGGGTGGGAGGTCACTCTCATGTACACAAGTGCTACCCACCCGTGTTCATCAACCTCTGAAATGGACCCTAATGGCGTATTGCACCTATCTGAAATGAACCCTAATGACGTATCGCACCTGTTCTGAAATGACCCTAATGGCGTATGTATCGCACATTTTCCGAAATGGACCTTAATGGCGAATCGCACCTTTTCTGAAATGACCCTAATGGCGTATATATCGCACATTTTCCGAAATGGACCCTAATGGCGAATCGCACCTTTTCTGAAATGGACCCTGAAAAGGTAGCCTTTTTTCATTTTGTGCGATCAATGCTTGAAAACACACTTTTAAAAAACCCACCCCTTTTGAAGGAAAACATCGACGACGTCGTATAGCTGAATTCAACGCTTTTTCTGGACGCGGGTGCGTAGCCAGTCATGTTGGGAGTTAGCCTCCCCCCTCCCCCCCCCCCCCCCCCTCGGGGGGGGGGGGCTATCTCTGATCCATGGGGTTTTCCCCTGCTGGTATGAATAACTGGTAATGCAACTGGGTTCGATCCTGTGTAGCGTAGAGCCTGACAGTGACTATAAACTAGAGAGCCCTATATATGATTATTTTGAGTCATCGCGATTACAGTACCTCGAATGAATGCATGATTATTGTTCGAGGTGCGAGCGATGAAAGACCTCACCATGTGTAATGTCCAGTAGTAAAGCATTGAGTGCATGCATGGTGCTAACTATAGAAATGACTCATCCATGCAAACGATCTAGCATATTATTGTAATGCATGGTCACAGTGATGTGAACTGAAAAGAGTGTGGTTCTCGATCTTAAAGTATTTTTGTTACACAGGTTTGACAGATATTTTATTAGGAACATAATGCTGGAAGGGAACAGTGCTATGTCTCTCAATACTCGTATTATTTACTTTACTTTATTTACTCCTGGGAGATGTGCAGTTAAGATGCTACCTCTTGCCCCTCTGCCTACCCGACTAATTGTGTATCTATAATGAGAATAATTAAACCATAGACCTGGAAGATCGACTGCTGTCTCAGCATTCTTCCAGCATTTGCGGGAAAGGTAAAGATATGTATTTTTTTTTTATTGGAGCCTGAAAACAAAATTCGAAGATCATTTAAGGTTTGTACGTTCTCATTTCTAAAAATATACCTTGTCCTTAGCAGATCTTATAATTTTCTAAAAAGGTTGAAGACCATTTCCGACAATATTGTTGTAAGGATGTGTTACGAAGTGTTTTAGTGACAAAAACAATAAGATCAAGATGTCATATTAAGTAAACTATTCCGAGAAAATAACATATCCTTAAACTTTCTGTATTTGGACATTTGGACATTTCTATTCTGCTCAGGAAAAGGTTTGATTTGATAAAAGCAATTTCCTTATCTCTGATTTACATGCAGTTTACGTACACACAGAATTTGTTTGCCGCTATACAGACTCGGTAGCCTTGTATATAATTCGAATTCGTTACATAGATTTATTTTCCTGTCCCTTGTGAGAAGCGGTTAAGTTACAATTTTATTAGTCAAACTCAGATCTAATGGATAATGTTTCGGAAATGTAAAAGCTTGAAAACTATCAAAAATGAAATGGAAAAAATTGTCACACAATAAAGAACAAATGACAAATAATATGCCATCTAGACAGGCTCCTCAAAAGTCTAAAAACTTACATGTGAAAATTAAAATTCGTCATCTGCTTTAGAGTATGACAATGTCAAGAATTTTCGTATTATTATTAATAATACGAAAATAACCATATAGTATAATGGGATCGATGTGATAAAAGATTATTATAAATATTGCAAGGAATGTTTTAAAAAGTGGACAAAGCGACACACAGATTAAAAAAAACATGATAACAAGTTAGAGAGAGAGAGAGAGAGAGAGAGAGAAGAGAGAGAGAGAGAGAGAAAGAGAGAGAGAGAGAGAGAAAGAGAGAGAGAAAGAGGGACGGAGAGAGTATGAGAAATAGAGAGGAGATTTACTGCAAGACAATAGATTAACAGATAGAAATATATAGGCAGAAATTCAGACGGATGAGAGGGACAAAGCGAGAATACACGCAGAGAGAGAGAGAGAGAGAGAGAAAGAGCAATGTTTGATCAGTAATAATGATGAACGGACTCGTAAACTCCGATCCTGCAGCCTTCTTCACATCTGCTCCTCATGAAGCTACAAGGGGACACCACCAGAAGCTGTATAAGCAAAGGAGCAACACAGTCCTAAGAAGAAACAGCTTCAGTCAGAGAGTAGTAGAATCCTGGAATAGTCTTCCTACATCTGTCATCTCCTCATCCTCAATCACTTCTTTCAAGATTAGATTGGACAAGCACTGGTCCTCTCAGCACCAAATGCTTCCATAAAATTTATTTGTGCGTCCACCCGCCATGCGAGCAAAAATAGTTAAGGTTCTTTTTCGAACGAAGCACCACTCAATGAAACGACCGGAAGTTTCAACAGGATCACCTCACACTTCCGTATACTGATGCTGATGCTGATGCTGATGATTTGTAAAAAAAAATATATAAACGTACGACCCAATGACCACACCAATGTTTTTTTACAGCGATGATATACTTTAACCATGGACCTACTACAAGATAGGGTATATGTTCATGCACACAATTAACACACAAACAAAGATATAGGATGCATGTATGTTACAATCATTTGCAGAATCGTTGATCCTGTTTTAAATGGTCATTATTTCCCTTTCCTTGGTACCGGAAAAAAGGTCGCATTTTACGCAATGACATTTCAACGAAACAGTGCTTGAAGGCCTTTTAAAAAGAAAATCAGAGAAGTCCGTGGAGCATCAGGCTATAGCATATACGCTTGAATAGTCCATACAAGGTTGGTTCTTTTAAAAATACATTGTATGCAGTTAAAAAAAAAAAATTCTTTAGAAGTGACATGTATAGAATTCTAAGCTAGTACATGAAGCACTCTTGTGAGTTTAACAGGGCTATACTGTAGTATAGGGCACGCAAAGTATTTATAAATTAACACATTTTTAATGGGTCAGATAGCTCGAGATGTCGGAAGTAATTATGAGGTATAATATACATTTCTTTCTTCTTCAAAATCAAACAAATCTCTTGTAATAGTAAAGAGCAGACGGAGCAATACCAACAGAAAGCGAAGGAAAAAGTGATATATGTAAACCACACGTATCTAAGTACAGGAAGGTTAACTGGTATGTAATATCCATTAAGATACCAATACCAATATAGCACGCGGGAAAAAAGCAGGGCGCCTCCGACATATAAAACAAGATTGATGAATATAACTCTATGGTTTCGCACGCAAAAAGCACGTGTACATATGCCTCTGCAGAAATTCGTCAATCAAACTGATGTTTTAATAACTATAAACCTGTCTACCGACTATAATTATACATCAGAAACATAATATTCAAATATGGTTTATGTTCTGGGTTAGCGTATGATGTTGAAAGATAAGGAAAGTAAGTGAAGACTTACCAAACGAAATGCGTTGATGTTCAGAATAAACGCCGGTTATTTAATATACCACGCCTCTTGCAGGAGATAGATGGAAGATAAAGCGAAGCACACACAAAAAGCTATGCACACAGAATAGAGTTGTGGTGGTATTTTCCATGCATAAGACACACAGCGTCGAACACACACTCGCACAGTCATGCACAGAACGGCGTAATATGAACTGGTATCTATCTATACGTAGCGCCACGCCACAGGCAAACTGCAAAAATAGTGAATAGATCTAGAACCGGATTGGAGGCTTAGACAATAAGATCGTTCCACATCAACGGAATGTCTTTATTATAGGCTTCTATCCAACAAAGTCATCAGAGATAAATGTAATTGTTTATTCAGATAAGAATGCACTGATTATGATACGAATAAGAGAGACAAGCCAAGCAAGTATGCTACTTCTGAGAGTGTGGGCAGACTACAGAAACCAGCAGTACAGTAAAACTTAAGTGTCGTGTTGTTTTTCCATGAAAGTGGTATCGATGAGTCTGTTGGTGTGTTTTTTAATTATAAAAAATCACGTCATTTAAATAGGAAGGACCGTGAGTTTGCAACATTCGACTGTGAAAAAAAGTCTGGTAGAGTTAAGCTATGTCATTTCCTTAATTGTTTGATGTGAGATACTATAGCTAGCTCTCTCTCTCTCTCTCTCTCTCTCTCTCTCTCTCTTATAACCAATTAATCTGCTTCGAAATATATCCATGACCGGTCTATCAACTTTGTACAGACGGGTCACTATAGATTGAACCAGGGAGATGAGAGTTCTCATGGACCTTAAAGAGTAGGTCCATGGTAAAGAGCATGTGTGTTGATTTTTGTTTATTGTATAATTATCTACGTCTATTGCTGATGGTATAGGTTTCTCACACATTCTGCATGTTTTTATTCCTCCTAACGGCTAAGTATGGTGTCAATATAAAACTGTTATCTGCTTATCCACAGACCTTTAATAGACCGATGTCATGCAGTGACCAGTGTGTACAGTGGCCAGTGCGGGTATACTAGAGTTAGAACCCTTGTAATCTCTCTCTCTCTCTCTCTCTCTCTCTCTCTTATCCCCTTCTCTATTTATTTAATCGTCTATCTCTTTCATTATTTTGCTCACTATAGCTGAGAACTCCACCCCAACCAACGCTTCTCTCCTAATCGCTCCCCTACACCCGATCAATGATCAATGGTATTATGTAATGCTTATGTGGTATCAATAAAGAACGTGGATTAAAGGTTTGAAAGAATTATTGATTTTCAACATTCGTTTCACCGACCATTTTGAAAATGTTCAAGGACTTTAAGTGGCAATGGATGACCAATATAACACGTTGTCCGTCATGTACTTCACATAGTACAGTCATGTAGACGACCAACGGTGTTCATGAACATGGGGCATTTTTGCACATTATTAAGTGTTATCACACGAAATCATTTCCTATGTGTGTTGGGAGGGGGTAGGGGACCTTTTGCAATTTCACTCCGAGGACGGAAAAATACATTATTTCGTTTTATCAAGAGAAACAATATTGATGGTAGGTATAGGTAGGTAGTTCCTTATACAAAGAAAATTATGATACATTATTTTGAACACCAATAACGATTTATCGCGTATATCCGATCGCTCACCCTGTACAATAATTATTAAACACCCATTTGTTCAAACATATTTTGTTTTAAAAGTGATATAGTTCCATCAATAAGTTTTCAAGTGGTATATGCATAAATGATGACGTTGTTTACGCTTTACTTCCTGCAGTTCCTGCAATACCGGATCTACACTATGTTGGGATGTAATCAATCCTAGTCGAGTATGAAGTATAGACGACAATATACATTAAAATAATGCTGAAGCAGATTGTGAGTGGCAGCTGACACGAAGATTGGCCCTTCAAAAATCTTCTTATACAATGAACAACAGAATAGCATTTAATGATGTTCCAATCGACACTCCAAAGAGAGAGAGAAAGAGAGAGAGGGAGGGAGAGAGAGAGAGAGAGAGAGAGAAGGAGGAGAGAAATATAGATAGAGGAGGAGAAGAGAGAGGAAGAGAGAGAGAGGGGGGGAGAGAGATAATAAGGAGCCTGAGGCTGAATAGAGTTTATAAAAATGTATAGAATAGGTAGAGTTAGTGGGCGAGAGAGAGAGAGAGAGAGTGTGTGTGTTTGTGCATGGACCCAAATAGGTCCATGATTTGTATGTGTGTTAAGATAGGGGAAGAAAGCGAGATTCAAAAGGTAAAGAGAGGTAAGGAATGAGAAGAAGTGAGAGAAGGAGAAAGTGGATCGTGAAATGTAAACATGGTCCACTGTCTAGTCGGATTCTATATTCAGCTGAGTAAATAAGAACGTAACCATAGCAACAACGATGACGGGGACTATCATCTCAAGCATGTTCTACCCTAATCCTAACTATCTTATTTTTATCTTCTCTGTAAGCCTCCTTAATATACTTTGTTTATAACTCGAATACTTGATCATTTTGAAATTTTCCACCACCATTCTACCGGACTTATGTCAGTTGCAAACCTGATTACTTTATGTCGAAGCTGTTTTCCATCGCTTAAATGTGAGAACATTGCAATGACTTTTACATAATCCGAACGCTTTTGTACGCGATATACAATCATGGGTATAATATTAATAAGGAAATCAAAGTAAAACAAATCATTACAAAGAAGAAAAGGTCAAATCTTTAAAGGGAAACAATAAAACATGATTCTGTTACATGAGTACATATTAAAATCATCGACCGCAAGTGAATCAAATGTGAACCAGGCAACCCTGGTGAACTCTGGTTTGGGATATTATGTGACGATCTTGATATCAAGGCCTAATAAACAATATGTCTACACCTTGATGATCACTGTAATGTAACCGGTTGACATCTTATTCAGAAACTAAATGTCATGACCTTACTGAACATACCAAGTAAATAGTCTCGTCACGTCCATAGTATGCGAGACGTCATTTGACACAACATTGGTACAAAACAAGATTTATTAGAACTGGCAGAAACAAGAGAGCTGTCGTAGTAATTATTATTTACGCCCAACGACATACATAACATTTTCATAAGCGGATCCCGGAAAGGGGGAGAGGGGGGAGGGGGGGGGGGGGGGGGAGAAGGTTGTAACGCTCTCAATTGAAGGAAAAAATGTTAAGGGGAAGAAAGAAGATCCCGGAAAGGGGGAGGGGGAGGGGGGGGGGAGAAGGTTGTAACGCTCTCAATTGAAGGAAAACATGTTAAGGGGAAGAAAGAAGATCCCGTCCCCCCCCCCCCCCCCCCCCCCCCAAAAAAAAAAAAGAAAAAAAAGAAAAGAAAGAAGCAATAAACAATGAAACTGAAAATCATGTCGGGAATTTTCCCTTATCCTCCCCACCGAACGTGTCTGGGAGAGCTGGAGATTTAAAAAAGAATCATGTTCAGCACCGGGAACACTAATATGCCCTGCTCTCCCACCCCCTTTTTTGACAAAATTCTTCCCCTGATCCTTGTCATACTTCTACTACCCCCATTTGTGAATATTTCGGAAGCTAAACTCCCTCAGGAAATTAAACTTGGTTATGAAATTTTGTGATTCATCTTGTATTCCCAACGCGCATTCTGATGTACAAGTGCAGTGAGAAGAAAGACACCTGCATAATTATCAACGTTTATGTTGTTGGTTATATGATTCTTGAATCATTTAGAAACAACACATATTATAATGTCAAACAACATATATTAATCTGTGTGAACATTTATTAAAATATAGAATATTTTGTAGTTCGACCAGACAGATCGCCCACTTGATCAGATGCACTTTTCGACGCTGTACGTCATTTGACCTGCTGTCCATGTATCTCGTCTCGCCCCAAGTATCCTTCATTACACGTTGACATTACGAATGATAAATATGACTGTCATCATGGTTGTGTGAGCTTCTGGAAGTGTAACTCCTGGAAATATGGTTTGTATTCAGCGAGGGGCGTTGCTAAAGGAAGATCCCCAATTAAAAAAATAGTTACCAACTTCAAACAAATTATTTGCTGTTGGCAAATTAAAAAAATATGCCCCCCTTTTTTTTTCCTTTGTCTCCTTTTTGGAAGAGAATTACTCTTTCAGAAGTTCTGTGAGGAATAAAGCGATTTTTGTTGTGCGTTTTTTCCTTGCTGTTGTTGTTGTTGTTTTGTTTTTATGTTGTTGTTGTTGTTGTTTTGTTTTGTTTTGTTTTGTTTTGTTTTTTTTTTTTTTTTTTGGGGGGGGGGGGGTTGGCCTAAAAATGTAACAAAGGGGATAAAGGAGTAGCTGGGAATCGAACCCGCTACCTTTACATTGTGAAGCGACAGAGAGCATAATTGGAGTGCTTTGCTCATATTATAATACGCTAAGTAGGCTAAAGGGTCACATGCCCCCTTCCAAACAGAACGACACAGAGAGAGAGAGAGAGAGAGACAGAGACAGAGACAGACAGACAGAGACAGAGGGAGAGACTTTCGAATTTCATTCACCCAGTCGGATCGGTAACCCCCCCCCCCCCCAAGAAAAAAAAAAAAAAAATCGAATGGCAGAGAGAGAGAGAGAGAGAGCGAGAGGGGGGGGGGGGAGAGTTATAACTCCTTCTAGCTATAACATAATAAACCGGTTTACTAACATACTTAAATTGTATACACACTCTCTAATTAAAGGTTGATCTTGACAACCTTACATCTTGCCCGACATAACAACTTGCAATATATGCAGATAGCACTACGAGGATAGTAGTTCATTCATTAATAACAGGTTAACGGAATAACTTGTCACTAGGTCCCCAGGAAAGAAAACTCCATACATTTGAATATGTTAATAAACCAGTTTATTAAATAGCCAAGCTTCTCTATTTATTGATGCTATTCTTTATGCTATGTCAGGAAGCTACGATTTGGTGTGATAATAACACAAAAACTTGCTATCATATCATTTACTGAAAAAATGTTTATACGGGCAATTTTGACAACATCGGACTACAAAAATGTTCAAGTTCTCGGAAGCGTAAAATCAGTAAACCTACATTATTTGTAAAGCCATTGATATCAGAAAGTGTTAAGAAATAGAAACAAACTAGGTAATAGCAGTGAGGCAAAGTAGTGTAACCAGGTCTCATCAAAATCACCAAACGGCATGTGAAAAATCACCCAAAGTATCAAAACTCACCCCCAAATCACCAAATTCAAAGAAAAAAAAAGGGGGTAAAATTTCTAAAATGTTTCTTATTTCTATTTAGATTATTGGCTAAAGATCTATTTGATTATTGTCACAAATTTCGTTTGTAAAAAAAAACTCACCTTTACTGGTGTATATTGTGTGGTCAATGTCCATATGAACTCCTCATCTGATGACAGCAATAGAAAACCGTGTTACTTAATTATTGGTGTATTAAGTTAATTAAATATTGAGATGTACCCTCTTCTTCTTTTTTTCCAAATGACCAGAAAATTAAAAAAAAATCACTAAAATTTAGTTTGGTGACAACACTGATTTATATTCTCACCAAGGCTTTAACAAAAATTCTCCTAATTTTCGATTTTTTTAGTTTTTTTTATTTGGTGACCGAGATCAACACTAATCTGATCCCGATCATCTGATGACAGATCGACAATCCTGTTTTCTCTCTCATATAATTATCTTCAAGCTCCGGCAAACCAGAAGTCAACTACATTTTCAACCTCGCATCACCCAACCTGATCGAATTAAGTTCCATTAAAATAGAGTTTAAACGTGTGGGAACATTATACAGTGGGAAACGAGTGGCGACAATTAAATACTTAATAGAGGAAGCAGAATAGCGAGACATGTATAGCTGATGAGATTAACAGACCATGCCTGTACGTGTCGTGGAGGCAACGCTCGTATGACAAGGATAGGAACAAGTTGAATTAAAATAATTTCTCAATAAATAATGATGGAAAATGTTTAAAATTCAATTCTTTTCAGACCAACGCTATGTTATGCAAAACAACTGAATGTATATAATGAAAGCAAGTCCAATGGTGGCATTGGTTAATGTATTCTTATATAAGAATCTGAATTCCGATCATTAATCTACTAATATCCATTCATTTCCAAAGCACCGCAAACTCTATAAATATAAATTTCCGATTTCCTTTCCTTAAAGCAACTATTAGGGTCTAACTGTCGCCTGTTCTTGTTATTGTTTAACGAGTAAGTAGATTAAATCTTGAATATAAGTAGGTTAACTGGTCACAAACTGTTTTGACAGAGATTTGTTATTTCCGTTTTTGTAGCTTATCCACTTAATACAATAAATGAGGAGGGAACTCCAAAAGGCGGCTGATCGAGTGACTTTCAAATTGAGGGTGGTGGCACTAACAAAAAGGGTACCTGCAAAGGCTAACCTTAAAAGAAATATATATATATATATATATATATATATATATATATATATATATATATATATATATTTTGGGAATTTGAGAAAAACTGCCCTGAGCCTCCTTAGATAAGGGGCACATGCGAGGGAGGGTAAGATAAATGTGTTGTTAAGGGGGAGAGGAGAGGTGGACAAATATGTTATCATGGTATCTATAATTGTAATGATACCTCTTTTTAAAGTTGATTGACTTTACATATTTATTGTTTACAGTTTCTTTGAGTATAAACTCCTTGGTTGTTTAAACTTTGATATTGTTGTACGAAAGGGCAATAGATTGCCTGAACATTCCGCCTGGACAATTACCCCGGGACAATTTACCCACATAACAATCATTCCAACGTGACAATTAACCCCAAAGCAAGCCCCCCCCCCCCCCCGGACAATTAAATTGTATGTTTGGTTGATTGTAAACAAGACTCTGTTTTATCCCCTAGTATGTATTCATTTGAATTGTGAATTGACATGATCAATACATTCCTTGCCTCCGTTTGAAAACTTCTTTCAGCCTTTCAGCCTTTAATAAACCAATCAAGTTGACATTGGTACAATGAACAGAAAATACAACTTGCTCTCATCCACCACTTCTCAACATCTTTCTCCCCTTATCTCCCTCTTTCACACTCCCTCCTATCTCTCTCTCTCTTGATGCATGTTCATGTAGCTTTGTATTATCCCTACAAATGCGATTACTTAACATTTTAAAGTTAAGATCGGTTATAGGTCAAGGCATCAAATGGAATGGCTAGCAGTCCCTAAAAATTTAGAATTTCAATATCTGTTGAATCATATAAATGACTTTCTTCTTTGTAGGAAAGAAAATAAATCTCAGTATCACTTTTCATAGCATTCATCTCTCAGATTATTTTCCAAACTAGGGATACATTAACATAAGAACAAAAAAAAAAGTCTTATTCGCATGGAAAGTATGTAAAATTTATATACAAAACTTCTGGTATCATTAAGAAGACATTTCTAAGTTGTAAAGTCAAAGTTAAAAAAAATAAAAAAATAAGCATATAAATGGAAATCATTTTACATTTAATAGAAAGTGAAGGAGAAGACAATATAAGATTTCAAATAATGGACTATTACGAACGAGAATGGGATCCATGTGAACAATAATAGCAATATTTGAAAGCAATTATCTGCTAAGAAATCTCATTTTTATAATTTGTATAAAAAACAGGATGGAGAAATTCAAATCATCAACATCATCATAGTCTAAAATTATCTTGCATGGATCTATCCATGCTTTTCTGTCTCAAAATGAAATGTAACATGGGTGAGCCCCCACTTCTTTTACACAACTTCTGATACATGTTGCTTAAAAACAAATCATCACGGACAACAAATGATAACCTATTAAAACGAGCAGGACAAATTATCCAATACTAAAATAACTCCATCTTCAAGCAAGTGGGTTAGGTTGAAGACTGATGCAAGAATTTCACTTTGACATAAAAATTACCGTCTAATCAGAAACTGGACAGTCATTGCACTAGAACAGCATAGATTTGGCAAACCGCATACATCGATGGTATTATATTGCAAACAAGAAAAATAAGCAATTTTCTAGATAATCCCTATTTTATTTCAGTTCTAGTTCTTGTGGTATACAGGAAAATAATTTTAAAATAGGACATTAATAATGAATTAATCAATGCCATTCACATGAAAATTACTAAAACATCTTTGAAATTCTTTCATTAAAAAAATGAAAATGAAAATTCCACCCTGAGAAGCAAGATAGAGAAACAGCAACTAGTAGTGCACAGGAACAAAAATACATATTGCCAGGTGTTGAATCAATGAAAGGACAATGTTTCATGCACAAGTATGAGAAAATACAATTATCAGTTTATCACACTAAAAAAAGTTCTTTTTCATGAATTTGGTAAAAAAATATCAGGTTCATTATTCCAAAAGTAAATGAAATTGTACAGATAGGGTTCATTCTAACTTTCAAATGGTTGTTGACTGTACTGTTACCAACAAAATAGGACAAGTCATACGATAAGCTGGCATGTGTACATCAACTTCGCACTTTAAAAGAAGCAAGATGGAACAGAGGAGTTTATTCTTCTGACATCCATCAGAGTATGAGTACTCTTAACCCATTGCATACTAGAAGTGGATCATTCATCCAGTGAGCCTAGGGAGTGAATGAATTCAGTAGTCCATGAGGTAAGGTCCATAAGTTCCTTATATCAAGAGGAGGTTTATTCACCATCTCATTTTCTCCTCTGTTTTCTCTGTCTCTTTGGAGGGAGTAGTCCTGGTCCTATGTTGTGTAGGGCTTCGTGAGGCACACTGCTGATAGGGATGGCACACTCTTCATGATCCTTCTGCTCCGAATCCTTGATCCACGAGTCTGGGATGCTGTCAACAAAGAAACAAGATGAGTGCAATTAAAGATAAAGTTGAGTTCTGGTCATGCGATTGCATTGTGAAAGAAACAGTGTGGAATCGATCAGAAAAAAGTGTATCATGTAACATAACAGTATTGGTGTGAACTGCAAGGTTCTGGAGTCATCAAAATGATAAGAAATTAGGCCCAATTTTTGTAAAGTAACAAGCACATTTTTTCTTTAATGTTCTTCCACACTTGCATAATTTAACAATGTTAACACTCACAAATTATTTTTCACCTCTCCCCAGAATTCAACCTTCTCTTTAAGAATTCATTGCATCAAATAACTTTTCAAACTACACATCATAAACTAGCAACCGACAGGGTCAAGCAAACCAACGTAGATATAGTAACTTCCTTTACAAAGAAATGCAGTTATACGATACAAACATGTGTCATTTGTACATGTGCTTATAGTAGTTTACACAAACTTGGTAAGCAAAATAATGAAAGTGACTCCATCTGACTGATGACTAATGGCATTTGAATAATAATTTCCGAAGCTCTTTGGAAGCGCATAAAGACGTTATATAATGTGATATGCGCTTAAAGGTAATACAAAGTTTTGGTATGGGGTCATGAATTTGGTTCAAATGAACATATTGGAAGCATATACGATCCTACAATATTCAGTGATCGTTGTCGCGGTCGAAATCGACTCTAAAGTTATGAAATTGTAAATAATGAACACTTTATGTTGAATAGCTCCCTCTCAAGGTCAAGATATTAATTAAGCTACAAAACAATGTTTATTGACTAAAATCGACCGATTAGCTATTCTCGTTCGGAAATTATATACCACAACTACATACTCTGAAATTGTCATGGTCGCAGCTACCATTGTACGGCCGTAGGAGCTATTTGAAATTTATCATAATTTACCGGGAGCACCGGTAAATATTTATATTCAATTTTTCTCGAAAGCATAAGTGTTTTAGGGGCTACAACTTCTGGTGTTTTTAATACAACCACAGGAGCATCCAAATATATCAAAATGATCAAGAATCACTATCCACCCATTTTTCAAAATTTCCCAAAACTTTGTAATACCTTTAACAAGAACCAAATATTATTATTATTATTTGCCTCTGAACATCTAAGAAATACAAAGAATGTAGCAGTGGCTTAATCACTTGACTGGGAATGAGAATTCTAGCATGACACCTATGTCCTGAAGCAAGGCATTTGTGTTTTCATTGCTTTTCTCCATCCATATCTATATGGGTATCTACTAGTAGGCTGCGAACATCAATGGGATACGATTAGCACAAGCGCATCCGTAAACTGGCGAAGTACCTAGGGTGCTTCCAATGGAGTGTAGTGTGTATTATAAATGCAGAATTATGCTGAATCCAATAGCTGGGGTAATAATACACTGTTAAATGTTTTAATTGATGAATTGTAACTAGAAGATGATATTTAAAAAGATATTATCATTATCATTAATATGATCAGGATTATAGTTATGCGTAGAATGTTTGTGGAACTACTTTCAACTTGCTTGTTAAGACTAATACAATACAAGGTTCTTTTCCAATGTAACTTACACATCAGTTGGTGACCAACGAAGGAGGACCATGGATTCCCCGCTCTCATCTGTTCTTTTCCCAACAACCTGCAGAGTAAAACAAAAAAATAAAAATCACATCTGTCAACTTCCCCTATTTTTATATACTAACACAAGCATTTTCTTGCATGAATAGTGGACAAGTTTTGCCTGCTTATAAATGTTCCATCAGTTCTAGCTATCTACTAGCACAAGAGGCACAGATATAGTCCCTTCTCCCATCCCATTGTAAATGTGATGGTTTCATCCATTTCACAGAGGTATAGCGTTGTATTTTATCTTATACTTTACACTGTGTGCAATAACTTTATCAATGAGATTTCTATTACTCTACAGTTTTACCACATTCATGTGAGTGATACCCTCCATCTTTTAACGCCATAGAGTTAAAAATTGATCTCAAAGAGGAGTTATTATTATTATTGTTAATGACTTAATTAGTCTAATGTGCTATATAAATAATACAAATTTACTTATTATAATTATTATTTTGATTATGGTATGGTATGGTACTTATTCCATTCTTCATAAAAAACATCTGCAATACATACAGAGTATTAAAAAAAAATGAAATATATAAATACATGTAGAAGGATAACATTACAGATAATATGAATACAATAAAATTAACAAGGAAACTAGTTAAGAAAGCAAATTTATGTCGAATGAGGGGTCAACCAAAAAGAGCATTTAGCCTTGTTAAACGTTGACCCCTAAACAACTACGTAATTAACATAACATTAAGAAGAAAAAGAAAGCAGGAAGAAACAATAACACGGAAAAGGGAAACATTATACAAAAAAATAACATATATATATATATATATATATCATTACATAATTGATGATATGGTGTCACCAGTGCCTGGAGGGGAAACTGAACATCGTCACTATCACCCTTAGGTCTCTTCTCCCAGTATAACTGATTGGGGGTGTACAGGTTTACAACTAAACTGGGGTTTCCCAATTTTGCCCTACTTTTTGTTTCATTTACAAAGAGTGCAGTGTTTTTTAAAAAAAATGCAAATGCAGTGACTCTCCTCAACATGGGGTCTCCATTTAACATCTTATCTGGGGGGAGGGGGGTCAGAATGTTTTCCACTGTAACCTCTCTCGCATCTGTGGAACAGGTAATAGGATTGTTATAACACACAATGCCAGGTTTAGTCATCCACCTGTGCGGGATTCTAACCCATGATCTTTGGTTGCAAAAGCAAATTCTACCTCAAAATCTCATCTCATGGTGTCACAAGCTTAAGTTTATAAGATAAGAATAACTTACAGAGCTTTTGAAGATGAGCGATCTCCCGCTGCCCTCAGTGTCTATCTTTGTCTTCATGTTGAGTTCGACCAGACGATGATGAACAGCGTCAGCCATACGGGTATCAAAGAAATCATCCGTCTTCGCTGAAACTACAAATTTGGAAAGAAGTTGAAATATGTAATTAAATTTTGTTGAACTTATCAGTAAAAGAGTGTTTCAGTCTAGGCTTGTACAATGTATAATACAAGAGTTAAAATAATCTGTATCAACTTTTTCATTCAGATTGTTTTGATGCACAGTAAAATAGCACATCCTTTTTTGTTGTTGTTCTTGAATAACTCCCCTAAACAATTCAACAATTCAATTCTTTATATGATGGAAAGGGAGTTGTACAAAATGTTATGGTACATAAAAGCTTTCACATTTGCCATACTTTGTGAGTACATGTACATGTACATTAATATTAAGAATGAAGCAATTCTAAAACAAGCTTTCAATCCATTCCAGTCTGCAAATGCGTGGCAATCGTTAATTCTTACCCATTGACAATCTTCTTCTAATTCTCATCCTTTTCCTCTTGAGAGCTTTGCCTGGACTCTCCTCCTTGCTCTTTGGTGTTCTCTGTTGTGAGTTCTGCTTGGCAGCATTGAGATGAGACTGACAGTGCCTCATCAGACCTTTCTCTGTCCTATAGCTCTGGTTGCATCCTGCGAACACGCAGCGGAACGGCTTATCCCCGCAGTGCGTCAACACATGCTTCGGAAGCCAGGTGGCAGACATGGAAGGCGTGTTGTAAACCTTGCAGCCGTCCCACAGGCACACAAACTTCTTCCCTCCTTTCTTGATCTGCTTCTGGGCGTGCTCTGCTCGAACGTGATCGGCCAGGTCGGCGCTGGTGTCCGTCTCCTCTCCGCAGGACTCCCAACGGCAGATGTACTCCACCTTGGGTTTGGGTGTGGTCGGGGTTGGTGTGGTGGTAGGCGTGGTGCAGCCACTGGGTAGGCTGCTTGCACAATCACTGCTGCTACCATTGCTGCTGATCATGTGAAACAGAGGAGGCTAGAGGAATAAACAAAATATAGTTATAATATTTAAGTGTATTCTTTCCTCTTCTGCAAATGTATCTTAACCCCTGTAGTGACTTGACCTTTGGAGAACTTTGCATTTGTATATATTATTGTCTTGTCTATATTGTGTGGCTTGAAGTCTAGCCTTTTATGCCATTGTCACTCATTTCTTTAGTGACACCTGTTACATTACTAGAGTGCCACACATACTTATTCTGGCAAGCAAATTCCACACCCTATGGGTTGGGATGTGCAACCACCTAATGTACTGGTATAGCTTATACTGTACAGGCACATTACACTTGTTTGCTTTATTTGACACACCTATTTTCATCACTTCTCCTGAGCTGTTCATATAGAGCACACATATTCTGGAGAGTCTTGAATCGATCTACAGCAAAGCTAATTCAGCTTCATCTTAATTCTTGTCCTATTTTTTCGCTTGTTTCTCTACTCGGTTCTGAGGCCTTATTACTTTATAGAGATTATAAGTTTCTTCTTCCTTACTTAATTCGCAAAGAAGCTTCATTACTTTGTACATGGTCTTACATATTCTTTCTACAGGTGCTGTGCAATATTTGAACTACTACTTGTGATATAATATATGTTCCAAGTATCTGTACTCAACAGGTGTTTCTACGAGACAAGGTAGGAAAGAAATCTATTTCTATTTCTTTTATTTAGGTGATTAAATTCCCTAAACCCTAAAATAGGGTTGTGATGGCAATGACAAATCTACTCATTGATGTCAGTATATGGAAATACACAAACATGTGGCATCACACTTTGGTCCACTGTTATAGTGTTCACTATTGCTGGTCATAAATTGAATATGAGAGCATTTAAGAACTAGCTTCTTAGTCTTAGGACATTGATAAAAATAACAAAAAGGGTCACTTAATCTATTAGAAATATTCAACTTAAATCTATTTTTCAATCAAGTTTGGACTATGTTGCTTCCCAACATTATAGAATAATATTTATGCACAATTATATTAGAGAAGACTTTCCAAACCATACTATTCTTACATTTCTTTCCACACAGCATCTGTAAAGGAATGAGCAGCAATCCACCCTACAATTTTACTTTACATTATTTAAAATTTCCAAAATGCTTTAGTGAGCATCAGGTAGATACTTACAAAATTTGATCATGTGACAGATCAAATATTCACTTACATGGGTATGATCAGGCCACTCTCTCCGAGCAGGTTTTTCTCCTCTTTCTTCATCCATCTCTGATAAAATAAATTGATGATAATAGGACAAGAAATTCATAAACTCTCACACAAAAACCTTTATTTAATTTGTGTAAGTTTGTCACCTGTACTCTCATCTTTTCTTACCAGTACTCATTATTTCACATCTTAATGACTTTCAACTTGTTTTGGTATTTATGTTAACATACAGTTTCAACCAATGTCACATTTTTACTGAAGATGTATCTTTATTTTTGTTAGCGAAGTTAGCGATCGTAATGATGAATTGCTTAGATTAACTTAACGAAGATTGCAGTCGCCTGTGTGAAGTTATCTACCGTAATGAGGATCTGAGACATTACGGTAGGCACGCGGCCGCCCGCAACCCAAAATCGGTATGCACTCGTATTGTGCAGCGGTTTGCCGTAAAACCTGTGAAAAAGTGTATACTAATATCAATGTTTTTCAAAAAAATACTCCAAAGATAAGAAGAAAATTGACATGAAACATTAGATTCTAAACATAACGACTTTTAACTCATGATCTTTATTTAAACATTTGATGAATATTTACTTCATTTTTGGTATGTTTTAGTGGGGTATCTCCACGCCGGAGTTACAGGTCAAATTTTGGATAGGTTTCTGAACAAGCGCCATTATTATTATAGTGAATTAGCACTCAAATATCTGGAAAACCGAGGATGAAAGAAATTTTCCCCAACGAAACTTGTATTAAGTTTCATTCTTAATCTTAACTTAGTCTATTTATTTGTTATCAACAAATAGGTCTATGTTCATTAAATTGTTTATGATATAATTTGAAAGTATCAGACAGCAGGTTTATAAAATATTGCGAGAATGTACTGCAGCTGCAGTACACAGCAGTGCACGAAGTGTTGCCCGTCTCAATACACAGCCAGGCTTAGTCACTGTGTACAATTTATAAACTAAGATCTAACTTCAACTTTCACTTTACACTTATCCGAGTACATGGGACCATTACAGCGGCTTGCGACTACAGCACATCAACTTTCAATCAGCTTTGTCTTCTAATCGCTGAAGATGTGGTGCGCTAATTGATTTATACGGACACCGGAAGTCATTGAAATTATATGAGCACAATATTTCATTAAATGAATATAAATTATTCGTAAAATAACGGTGTTTGGATACTGACCAAGCTGTAGATTGTCTTTGTTTACCCGCAGCCTATGCTGAAATTATCGACTAACTTGGGAAATGTTGCGGGCTAGCAGCATCAGCTGCACCGTACCGATATATATGCACCACCACCAGCACCTGTCAAAAACAAAACAACGGCGGAGATCAATGCCTGCCGCTGGTAAGTGGAGCTACCTAAAGGTTCATGGTTATCAATTTTTCAACATGTCTAATATAATGTCTGTAATAATGTTTATGTTTGAGATTTGTTAACTTTACTTACGATTCAAGTGTCAAAAAGTTACTTTTCTAAGCTAATTGGGACAAGTAAAGTAAAGTCTTGCGGCCCTGTCAAGGCTCAAGCCTTGTAATGTTTGTTGGTGCGATGCCTGGACCTGTGTCTAGCTGGGCTAGGCGCGGCAGTAGCCGTGGCTCGCCTTGGAGCAGTGCTGGAGCTGGGTGCGGGATCAGTGCAGTCTTGTATTGTTTTGAGTCAGGGGCATGGCTAAGTTCTGTAATATTGATAAGGTGGCAGTAACTTAGTAAGTTAGTGTGCGTTACTAAGCCAAAAGGAATTTTTGAGTGAAATCCTAGATTTAATGTAAATGGCTGTAGTAGATCTATAGCTGCAAATTCAATGATTCTAGCTCGAGTAGAGTGTAAGAAAAATAGTTTTTGTTCTACTTTTTTTTGGACATAATTATCATGAGTTGTATTCTCTGTGAGATTGAAAAGAATAATGAATTCCTTTTTTTTTAAATTGTTGTTGTCTGAGATTCAACTCTTGAGATTTATTATCAGGATAACCTTTATCATTTATTATATTAGGAAGAGACATAATAATTTTCTGATTTTCCTTTTTTTGTTGTTGAGCACATTCACAAGAGAGAGAGAGAGAGAGAGAGAGAGCGAGCGAGCGGAAGAGAGAGAGAGAGAGAGAGAGAGAGAGAGAGAGAGACTTGGTATTTACTTGGTTGGGTAATCCCTTTGGCAGCTCACTCGGGAAGCTATACTGGGATGGTAGGTGAGGCGAGTAACTACAAGGAGTGTCGTGAATTGCTGGAATGGTGTGTGGACAAAGCACTTGTTAATTTACAGTAAAATATGCTAAGTCCAGTGCAAGTAAAAACCAGAGACAGAGAGAGCGGGCTGAGAAAGAGACAACGAGAGAGAAAATAGGCAGATACAGTTATCATAAAAACAGCCGCCAAAATTGCTTTTGTTTATATAGATCTACAGTGTAGGTCTAGTTTCATGAGAATGGCAGCCTAAGCCGAGCTAAAGAGTAAACAGAGTTGACAAAGGACTTAATTCCATTTCGTTGACGATCAGCCATGCACAAAAAAGATGAAAGACTTCATTCATGGCTGATCGTCAACGAGACAGAGTTAAGTCCTTTATCAACTCTGTTAGTTGCTACAGCAGGCAGCCAGTGAAAACGAACTTGTTTAATCAAATTATGGAAATGCAAGCATTACTTTAAGAAAACAGAACTTTATTATTCCTGGCTCATATTTTTTTGATTGAGGTGTCATATGAAAGGGCAGAAAATGAACTTTCTAGAAATGTGATTTTCTCTTTGAAATTCAGATACCGTCCGCCAAATGACTTTTTGGTTTCTTCTCTTCAAATTGCTTTTAATCACTCATGCATGAAATATGCATCATATAAGTTGCATCAGATGAAAGAGGAGGATCTAAGCTTTCCAAATATGTGTCATTTATTAATTATCATTGTGATAAAGTTATAATAATTCTTGGTTTCGTTTTTTCTGGGATGCACTGTAATGTATTTCTCCATCCTTCATACAAATCTTCTTGTGTAATATTACTGTACATACATGTTATGCACTCTTTTGTTTTCTCTTCAAATTTTCTTGGCTCTTTGATTTTCCTTCTTTGAGTTTTTTTCTTTTTATGGTCCTGTTGTTCTTCTCTTTCCTCCTAAACCTGTCATTACTTTTTTCTTTTCTTTATTTTGATTTTCTTTGTGCATTAAAAAAAGAAGCTTTACACAATACCTGTGTTCTTTTTTTTTTCTTTCATCTTCTTTCTCTCTTTGTTACATTCTTTATCTTTCTTATATACAATCTTCTTATTTATTTTTTCTTCCTTTGTTTTGTTGACTTTGCTTTAATATTTCTTACATTCTTTTTATACCCTCTTCCATTTATTTTCAGAGAAACATATTTTCCTTTAAGATCTCTAATGGTATTACAGTACATCTAAAATAGACACATTATTTTTAATGAATAATTTTGTACTGTTCAGCTTATGCATGTATGTTTATAGTATTCTGAATCAAATGTTATTGAGGTAAACCACAAAATGTGAGCAATTGTCCTGAGCAGGTAAAAAGTCTATTCAGTTTGTTAAACCATGGACCTACTAAGAAGGTCCATGGTTAAACCACCGTAGTGACCTTCCTGTGACCTTGTGAGTCAGGATGTATTCCTTTCCTCTCGACAGAGATTCCATTTACAATACCCAACGGAAACAGAGGAAACGGGCAGATGGGATTTGAAAAATAGGACAAACGAGTACTAGTGTAGCAGACATAATAGGGAATGTAGGGTAAACTAATATTACTCATTCACAAACCATGTATGTTTCAGTTTGAATGGATGCTACATTTACGTGTTTGATAGTAGAAGTTCATTTTTGAACAGAAAAGTTTTTAGTGAATACCTGTAAGCTAATTTTGTTATCATGATGCATGAAGACACAATCACTGCTCTTCACTTAAATTGCATTACGGTACTAGGTTCAAATGTTAAAACTGTAAATATTCTGTTTTTGTATTGTTTTGCAGATTCTCTTGATTACATCTGATGTCTGAGTGAATATAACCACATCTGCTGGGCTTGGACCCTCCCTGGACACACAACCAAGCAGTCAGGATGAACGCTGTAAAAAGCATTACCACTCTCCTTCTAGTCCTGGGCCTTACAAGCAATGTGATTGGTCAGTTGGTGAGAGTTAACAATGGTCTGGAAGTTCCTATTGGTCGATCAGTAACCCTTGGACAAGATGACTTGGTGTTTGAGCCTGTGGAGGAAGGAGAGAAGTGCAAGGTCGAGGTGGCGCTCAATGAACCCTACTACCAGAAAGTCGGCCTTCTACAACCAGAGGTAATCACCTTAAAGCATTTTTTCATGTTTCTTGACAGTTACCCCTTTGGACTACTGTACCTTCCTATTGACAACTACAGTCAACCTGCTTTAGTGACCACCTGTCTACAAAGACCACCTGTCTACATGTACAAAGGCCACTTTTTGTGTTTCCCTTGGGTGGTCGCTATAGACAGGTTTGACTTTACAACATACAACAAACAGTATCCCCAATATGAATATTTCCTGGCCAAATGCTACCTAGGCCTAGAAGAATTGCTGGACAGTTTAAGAAATTATCTACAGTACTTACCCTAAGGACAACTTTATTGAGAGTAATTATCTTTGTAAGGGGCAATTGTCCAGGTTATCTTTGTCTGGTGGATATTTGTCTTGGAGGATTGGAGTTCTTCAAGAGCGGTGTCCAGATGGTTATTTTCTAAGGGGTAGGTGTCCTGAGGGTGGTGGTAGTTTAGGGGTTAGTTTTAGAGGGAACTTTGTTGATGAAGCTTGCTCATATTTCATGTCATTTAGTCTATCCATACACATGACATGTGCATGATGAGACCAATAGAGTACCGAAGTGCTAGTGTCATGTTCGCTTGTCATCCAGGTTACTGGTTCTAGACAACAGAGCCTGCACACGAGGTTCACCACAAAATCATTCAAACAATGGCGGAGCAGGACAAATTCAGTGTCTGGGGCTGGTGTGATCGTCACACCATTGTTCAGCGCAATATTATTTGGAACCAGCAACCTCGACAACATGGCCAATATGAAGCCAGATAGAGCTAGGAAATATCAATGTGTTTCCTGCGTGTCTTATTTCCTTTTCCTTCACGTTCCTGCATTGTGATTAGTATTTTCATGTCAGGATCCACAAAGATATAATCCATAAAATCAGGAAAGCAATGTCCAGTCAATAGTCTAGCAAAGAAATACTATTAGGTGTAAAAATTCAAATTGCAAGTACTCATCAAAACTTTGTATTTTGCCTATCTTTGTCCTGTAGTTAAAACATTTAAAATTATTACCCTTCCTTCAATTAAATTGTAGGGATGATTCCACCTTGGCAAAAACAAGGATGTCTTTAGAGAAGAAAAAAAAAAAAAACTTAAATTTTGTTAATATCAACCTGTTTCTACAAAGAAAATATTGCTCTGCTTTAGTTTTTAAACCTGACTTTGCTTGTTTGATTCGCAGGTGTTTGATTGTGAGTTTCTGCCTGAGACGATCAAGTACACCCATTCTGGACTACCGTACTTGGACCAGGATGTGGTCAAGTTACGAGTCTACAAGTTCACGGAGACGGACACAGTTTCAGAGACAGTCTACCTCAGGGTAAACATCTCCCAGGAATTGTATCAAACTGTAAGACCAATGGGACCTCTCCAAGTAGAACGCTTCTTTGGAAGTTCAGATCTGATTGATATGAGAGTTCTGGATTTGGCGTACGAGCGCTATAGGAATGTGTCATGCACTGTGCACATCAACACGGTTACAAGTGGATTTCCTAAGTATGGGGAGCTAACCAGAGGAGAGGGTGAGGAGAAGCAGAGAGTTAGAGCACTGACGGCAGACTGCTACGATTTCATGATGGGGATGATACGTTATGAGCATCTGGTGCCTCCGACTCCGAACGTAGACTACATTGCGATGACTATAACCACAAATGATCCATTGCTGATTGAAGGAACGTCTGAGGAAGTTTACTTCCTACCTGTGGAGATCATGGAGGCCTTTCAGAATCAAAATCCTATTGCAGCCATGATGAGCATGTATGTTATGGAGGCAGATCAGTTCATCCTGACTACCATCACACCCTCGGTCATCTCGGGTAGAGATGATGAAACTGCCAATGAGGACCTTGTTTTCTTTATCAGTCAACCCTTTGGGCCAGACGAAGGCTACATCGTCAACCTTGATGACCACACCCATCCAATAGAATCCTTCACGCAGTATGACCTGTCTAGATTGAATATAGCGTACAAACCTCCCAGTGTCAGCTCACCAGACAGGCGTGTCTTTACGGCAGAG